CAATTTTTAGCCGTGGTGATGGCCCCAATACAACAACTGCTTGTCAGAATTTATCTTCCTTTAATTAAATGCGGTCCCTCATTGGGAGACATGTAACGGCATTGATTATTTAACTATGCCGTTATAGTTTTTATAAATATTATAAATATTTGATATTTTACGATCCTTATCCAAACTGTGCAACTAAGGAAGAGATAAATGCATAAGGATGTTTTAAAATTTTTTAGTGGCAGAGCATACAGTAACAAAACCATAGAGGCTCGGGCACAGATGAAATTGTTCCAGCCGGGCGTGTGGAGCGAGGAGCACACAGATGCAGGGATGCTGACGGAGCCACCTGCGTGTCCACTGATTTTAAGCCCGTGCTCGCCCCATCTCCGTCCTGCAAGGGGTTTTTCTTTTATTTCAGTGCTAGGATGCTCAGACATAGCAGGCCTGGGCACTGTGGGGCTTCGCCTTTGCTCGTAATCACTAAACAGTATCTTCAATACAAACCGAGGGCCCTAAGGATCTGAGGGCTGGCAGCCATTGTAAACTGCCTTCTGGATGCTCGTTTGTGTGAAGGGTGCTTAGGCTTGAACCTGATCCCCAAGCAGGTGTCTACCTTTTGGCGAGAAGGTTCCAAGTTCTCTCTACGACGTGGAGCCATCTCTTTGTGTCTGGAGCGTGACAGGGGGTAAAAAAACAGTTTGGGTTGATGGAAGAGTAGTTACAGGCAGTGGTGTTGGCCCAAACTGAGCTGCTGCTGCTGCCGGACGAGGGGAGTGGAGAGGATGAGACAGGGGCTCAGCTTCAGGCTCTGCCTGATTGTGTCATTATTTCAGAATAAATAAGAAACCAACAGAAGCCGTTTGTTGGGAAGAAGCTGTTGCCACCAAGTTCTCAGACAAGGGATAGCCACTAGTTCTGAGGTGACAGGACCCCATGTACCTAAAACATATGGCACTGTGGTTTAGAAAGAAGGCAATCAGCTTTTTCCTGCAGCCACCCACCCAAACCCCAAGACGCCATTGAGGGCTGGAGGGTGTCGCACTCCTGGGTTTCCTAGACTCCTTGTTCGCAGCCTGTCTTGTGAGGCTAATGGTCAGGGACCAGCGCACTCTGAATGGATGCAGTAAATCAGTTGGCAAGAATCTTAAGGGATGATGGTTAGAGTTTATTATAGGCCAGGCACAGAAGGGGCCTGGAGCATACAGTGGGTAGCAATGCTTAAGCCTGAGACGCCCTATCCTGCCCCCCCCCTCAACCTGGCTCCCCAACCAACAGTGCCAGCTCCGACCAAAGTTGGCCTTTGTTAAGGGAAGTCACTTAGCTCCACAGAGCAGAAACTGACTTTCTCAGAATGGCTGGCTGATAAGGGCTGTACCACTTGTGACAGGTCATAAAAGCATGGGCTGGCTTCTGTGTGTGCCCCTGTGGTTGCCTAAGGTAGCCAAGACTTCAGGAACGTCTGTGAAGATTCCTGTTCATTTCCTTGGCTCTCCAGGAGGAGGCAAGCTGGGGCACCTGGGCCCCGCCCTGGCCTGTGCAATTAGCACTAATAGGGATTGATTAATTACGTCCGGGGCTCAAAGTCCTACTGGCCACAGTTGCCTAACTTGCCGCCTTGTGGTCCCCACATGTCCCTGACAGGGGCCCTGGTGGCCCTTCTGTGAAGATGAGAAAGGGATACTTGTGGCCCTACTGTGGCTCGCCTTGCGGTGTCCATGCTGGTGGGAGGGTCCCAGAAGGCTCCTGTCTACAGAACCGGAGTAGAGGTCCCTGGAGGCCCGGTGAGCCAAGGAACAAAGGTGTGGGAGGGTGTGGAGTCCCCGGAATGCCCCAGCCCTCAGAGGGTATGAGGGGGAGGGAGGCTGGGCAGCCCTAGAGCTAAAGTAGGAGTCAGGAGGCCCAGCAGCCCCCAAACAGTCGGGGGTGGATAGGAGTGGGTTCCAGGAGGACAGCTACTTTCAAAGGAACCAGGAGAGAAGCTGATGGCCCTGTAGCCTTCTGAACCAGAATCAGGTGGCAAGGCTCCAGATTCCTTTAGCTCAGAGAGAAAGGAGGTGGTGTGTGTATAGAGGAACCCTGGAGGTCAGTCAACCTAACCAGAGTGTGATAGGGGGTGTAGGCCAGAAAGACTGGCAGCCTGAAAAGTGTTGCGGGTGGAAAGGATGGGTGCTCTCTCCCCTCTACCCACTTCTCGGAACAGGTACCCAGCAGCCAGCTGGTAGGAGGACACACTGCTGGCATGGTAACCATGGCCTCGTGCAATCTGGGTGATTGCAGCAGAGAGCAAAGCCAGTTGTTGGCTAGCTCTAACTCAAGGACCTCGAGGGGTCAAGCTCTCAGTCCCCTCTTCCAGCCCTTGTACCCAACACCAGGTCACCTACCACATTGTCACTGAGCCATGGGCATGAAGCATGTACTTGCTGTATGTGTCTGTATGCGCTCTGTTGCCAGAGGGAATCATGAGTAAGCTTATTAACAGCTTGACACCCACCCTCCCCCTCCAGCTCAGGGGGTGCCTGGGTGGCCTCAGTTCCTCACGCTGGAGCAACTGTGGGTGGATCCTCTTCTAAAGCAAGGTGGCTTGAGTCTGACCTTCAAGAAAAATAGGTTAGTCAGCTGCTATGTGGCAGGGATCTCAAACCATTGGTTTTATTCAAGAAGTCTTTTGATCCCATTTCTAGTCTCCATTTTAAAACCTCTTTGTATTATCAACCTCCCTGAGAATAACGCCCGATCAAGTTACTACTATGAGCTGATCTGTGAAGGACTGTCTCACTGATAAGATTGCTGGGTATGCCTGCAGGTTCCTGGCTGTGCACTTCCGCTGTCTGGTGTTCGTGACAGCCAATGGGCACTGCGGACCCAGTGTGGCTCTTCTGTGTTCTTTAGTGACTCCCAGGTGTCACTCTGGAGCTAGCTGCCCTTAGCCCTAGGTAGGACTGTATTCTTGGGAGGCAAACGGGTGCGTCAGGCTCCCTTCAGTATCTATAGGGCAAACCTCTGCCAGGACCAATTAGTGGCAACAGAAATGTTGTTTACCGTTTATGGCCAGGAGAATCACTGCCTCTCTCCATGGGCTTAGGCAAGTTTGTCTTCTCTTAAAATGTTTTTTCTTCTCCTCTTCCTCATGCCCTGTCCCCCTCCAACAATGCAGAAGGCTAGCCTAGGGCAGCTGGATGGGCCTGTGCCCGGCCTCCCCAGAGCAGCTGGTGTCTCTGGGGTATTTCTCCCATCCCTAGACAGTCCTAACATCAGAAGAGAGTCCCAAGCAGACCACTTCTGCGGTAGGCAGTGAGTTACCCGAGAGAGACGAAGCACGTGTCTGACGTTTCCAGATAAGAGATACTGAGTCACTGTGCTCCTGGGAGGCCCAGGCCCTGCACTAGGAGAGGCTGGGCCTCTGGAGTCTTTGAGACAGAGCCTGGGCAAAGTCAGGGAAGACACAGACACACCCCAAAGTCACCTGCAGTGCTCTGACAGCTTAGTCTCCCGAACGGAGTCTCTGTAATCTGGGACATTTGCTAGGGCACCCCTGTCAGTCTTGGTTCAGATCCTACCGCTGAACTGGACACCCCAAATGTAGCTGTCTCAGCCTCAGGGCTCCCTCCCTCCAGGCATAGAACTCCACCCCTGTCCCCCAAACTCCTGTCACCTGCTGGATGCAGCTCCTGGCAGGCATGCACACCATGCCACCCCTGGCTTGCCAGACTCACAGCTGTCGCACTGGTATAAAGGTCACGCGTGGCAGCAACCTCACCCACGGGGCCTGTGCCCAGCTGGAAAGCGCCTTTACAAGTCACCAACACCCAGAACTTTCAGGTCCCCCTAGAGCCAAGTGTCTCGGGCACGCATTGACGAAGGAGGTTTGAGAATAGACTGGAGCATTCCCAGAGGGAAGTCCCTGTAATCTGGGACATTTCCTAAGGTACCCCTGGCATGCCTGGCACCTGAGGAAGTGGCAAGCCTCCGTGTGGGTGCTGGGAACTAACCACTTCACAACCACTGAGCCAACTCTCGGGCTTTCTCCTGTCCTTTTTATCAGAGCAAAATGAGACGAATTAAAATGGACTGGGTTCCTCTCCTTTCTTCATATGCTGTAGAAGTTCTGGGGAAAGACCTTCTTCACGGTCAGATCTGGCCAAGGAGACGGCTCAGCAGGCACCTGCCGCCAAGCCTGACCTGAGTTAAATCCTCAAGATCCACATGATGGGGGGGAAAGAACTGATCCTATCGGTTGTCCTGTGCGATCCACATGTTGCCCCTCCCCCAGTAGACACAAAAATAAGTAAATATAATAAAATTTGTTTAAATGAAAAGACAAGCAGTTTGGGGGCTGAGGAAACGGCCCAGCAGTTAAGATTATTGCTGATCTTCTAGATCAGTGGTTCTCAGTCTCCTCATGCTGTGACCCTTTAATACAATACAGGTCCTCATGTTGTGGTGACCAACCATAACATTCTTGTTGCTGCTTCATACCCGTCACTTCCTACTGTTATGAATCATAATGTAAATATCTGATATGTGACCCCGTGAAAGGGTCCTTTGACCCCAAAGGGGTTGCAACCCACAGGTTGAGAACCACTGTTCTGGAGGCTTCCCAGCCCCCACATGGCAACCATAACTCCAGTTCTAAGGAATCCAGTTCCCTCTTCTGGCTTACTCAGGCACTGCATACACGTGGTGTATTTATATGCTGGCAAAACACTCATACACATAAAATAAACATTTTTTTAATTAAAAGTTGGGTGAAGTGGCCCCCTCAGGCCAGCCCCCTCTCTGGGTAGCCCTACAGTGGTGGGGAGCTCATCCGTGGGTACCTCTGTGGGGGAAGCTCCGTGGTCCGTGGGTGCCTCTGCGGGGAAAGCTCCGTGATCTGTGGGTACCTCTGCAGGAGAAGCTCCATAGTCCATGGATACCTCTGTGGGGAAGCTCCGTGGTCTGTGAGTACCTCTGCCATGAGAACACACCGCTTCAGTGTTCACTTTCTGTCTTTAATCTCTGTCTCCTAGATTTACTATAAAGTCATCAAGGACATTGAGCCTGGAGAAGAGCTGCTGGCGCACGTGAAAGAAGGTGCCTACTCCTTGGGTGTCGTGGCACCCAGCCTGGATGGTAAGAGCCTGCTGAGCTGTGGCCCTGAACCCCCACCCACCTGAGAGAACATGAGTGCTGTGCCGCCCCTGCCTGCCAGCAGGTCTTGCCAGCCGATGCCCTGGCTGAGCTTCTGCAGACCCCAGGTGTATGACTCAGGTCTCTCTCAGTGTGATAAAGGCCATGACCAAGAGCAACATGGGAAGGAAGGTCTGATTTGGCATATATATCCCAAGTCACCATCTGCTGATAGGAGCAGAGGCAGAAACTGAAGGCGAGACCCTGGGAGCAAAGGCCATGGAGGAGTACTGCTTACTGCCCTGCTCCCCATAGCTTGCTTAGCCTGCTTTCTTATACAACCCAGACCACCTGCTCAGGGGTAGTACCACACATGATGGGCTGGACCCTCCCACATCAATCATTAACTTAAAAAATGCTCTACAGGCTTGCCTAGGCCCAATCTGGTGGAGGCATTTTCTCAGTTGAGGTTCTCTCTTCCCAGACAACTCTGTTCTATAACAATAATAATAATAATTAATAATCATAATAATAATAGTAATATAAAGCCAACCAGCACAACAAGCTACCAGCCCCTTACCCCTGAGACTAGAGACCCCTACCTTTCCTTGGGGCCTCAAAACACATCCTGAAGAGGGGCTTGAGGCAATGTAAGACAATTGGCATTATGCTGAATTTTATCTACATAGTGTTGGTGACCCAGAAAATGGAATTTTTGTGTATATATGTGTGTGTGTTTATGTACATATATGCATACATATATGTGTGGGGTATATGTGTGTGGGCATGTGCTCTCATGTGTACTCATTCACATATGGTTGTTCTTGGGTGTCCTCCCTGCTGGCTCTCCACTTTCCTGAGGCAGGGTCTCATGTGGAAACTGAAACTCCCAAGTTTGGCTAGTCTAGCTAACCAGCTCAGCCTGGGGACCACTGTCTCAATTTCCTGAGCCCTGGGTTACAAGAGACAGTCACATCTACCTGGGTTTTTTTTTTTACATGGGTCCTGGGTGTTTGAACTCTGGTCCTCACCCTTGTATGACAAGTTTTATTCACTGAGACATCTCTGCAGACCCTGGGTGATGTTTCAAGTGTATTCCTCTTACCAGCCTTTTGTAGTAAATGACCCCAACCTAGTTGGTACTTGGGAGGCCAGGCAGAACCCAGAGCTCTCCTTTGTGAATGACTCCAGCCCGCGTAGGAGGGGAGAGCAGCCAGGCTGTCTCTAGAAGTGATCCCCACCAATAATTAAAAGTCCTGAAGAAACACAGGGGTGAAGCAATGGTGGCAGCAAGCTGAGGGCTACAATGGAGTCACAGTAGGATGTGTCCTTAAGCTCTCGATGCAAATAGGTACCCATCTGTTAGGGTGTGTCCGCAGGTGCTCCTGCTTGCCACTGTATACCTGAGCACCTCTGAGATGAACTAGAGAGGAAGCCAGTTTCACACACTCTGGGTGTTCCAACACACGGTTTATATCCCCTCGAGTCTATGTCTGTCTACTCAGGGTCTTGGCACAGCTGCTTTCGAGAAGACTATGTCGGCAACAAAGAGTGAGTCTGTTGGCCCTCCGTGGTCATTGATGACCAGGGAACTCAAGGGCTTGTGTCTAATTTCTTGTGGGGCACAGGAGGCGTTTCTGTGTTTTCCTGTGCATGCAGGGGAGGTGCATATGTGTGGGCATGCATATAGAGGCCAGAGGTCAGCCGTGGCTGTCATTCATCTGGTGCTATCTAGACGAGATCTCTTGCTAGCCTGGAGCTTGCAGTAATTAGCCAAGGACTGGATTCCAGCAAGCCCCAGGGACCCTCCTGTCTCCGCCCTACCAGTGCTGGGATTATTGACAACTACTACTATACCATACCAACGTGTTGTGGAGATTAACTCAGGGCCTGTACTACGCAGCAAGCATGTTTCTGGTTATCTTCCCAGCCCTCATGTCTTTCTTCTTTTTTAAGACTGAGCTACCAGTGAACAGAAAAAGAAATGTCCCCTAAATGTTTCTAGAATCTAGAGTAAATCCATTCCCTTCTCTGTGAGGTCAGTGCCTTAGACTCCCTCAGGAAACACAAGGATTTCTCAATGATCCCCACTGGATTTAGCAGAAGTTTCTGTGACCACACCTGTGGAACTCTGCCTCAGTTTCTCTGTTGACCCTACCAGCCTGCCAGTGACCAGAGTGCCTCATTGTTTTTTTTTTTTTTCTGCAGCAATACATAGTTCTAAGTTGTCAGACAAGAAATTGGGGTAGAAGGACCATTTTACCAAACAAGGTCTTCTGTCTCCGCCTCTAAATTTTGGGTGTAATTAAGCCATCGGGAAAGCAGAAATGAATTGCCAAGACTTATGCAACAAGATGGGGGGGGTTCTTTTCCTTAAAATCACTGCTGAATGGACCTGTGAATCTTCTGAACTGAGAGGAGAATCCTCACCCACGCAGCTCCGTTCACGTGGTGAAATGTCTTTCTTCCAAAAAGATTTTTAAAAGCCTTGATTTTTGTTCCCCCCAACACACACACCTCCCACCCCGATATTAAATAACCCACTCTCCATTTTCCTAATAACTGATCAAACATTTGTGAGCTAATTACTTTCCACACATAATAGTCTGACATCAAATATTTGACTTTCCTAATCTCTGCTGTCAAGATCCCTCCTTTACCACCCCAACAGCTACCCCCCCCAACACACACCCTAGTTAAACTCAGAATTGCACAGAAAGAAAATGCAAACGCGTCCCTCACTCAGATAATTATCATAAAAAAATCTTTTATCCCAGCCCGGGCTAAATGCAGCCAGCCCCTTATCGCCACAGGAATTTGGAGTAGACTCTTGAGCGCTTTAGAGCTGGAGTTGTAGATTGGGATGCGGGTGCCGTGTAATTGTGAACCCCTCAGTCTCAAAGCCATTAGGCAGGGATTTATTTTGCTGTAACATTCCTGTTCAGCCGAGAAAGTTGATGATGGAACTGGAGCTAGACAAGGGAGGTGCGGGGTTGACGGGCAGGTGCCACTGCAGTATAATTCGGTGGAAGGTTGATCTACCGCAGCCCAAGACCCCCACCACATTTAGATAGAGTTTCTTTCCAGTTTCTCTCCTGTGCTTTTGTGGCGGAGGGGGTCTGGAGGTCTGGTGATGAGGGAGAAATGGAACCCTTGGTTTGGGTAGGAATCGGCATGGCTCCCCTGTACAGATACACCAGCTACAGAGTTGGAGCCCTGGATGGGTTTGCCAACTCAGCATCCTCACAGATGGCCAGAAGGACGGCTGGTACAGTCCACTCTTAGTCAGGTGACCTTATAATGCTTTGATTAGTGGATGGAGGAGGCAGACTTCTCTTTCTCTCTTTCCTGAGAAGCACTTGCTCCGTGGAGAAAAGAAATCGTTTGCATTCAAACACTCACTTCATTTAGAAAGCCCCCTGGCAATCCACTTCGCCTCTCTGCGATGTGGCCCATTGTGTGGTGTGCGCAGGAGAGACCCGGGCCGTGATAGGCTATAATAGACATAATACCAGTATAACCTGCCCTTTCAACACTTCCTTAGATGGAATTTTGTGTTCTGGGAAAATAAAAGTGGTGTGCGGTGTGCCCCAGGTGTGTGCCCAAGGCCGGCCCTCCCTGCCCAGAAGAATCTAAGAGGCTCTTCTGACCCACTCACCCAGGCAGAGGCATGTCCCATCCCGAACTCTGTCCTTCTGCAGAAACAAGCTGAAGTCCAGAAGACACATGGGGCAGAGAAGAAGGGTAATGCTGCCACCAAGGTCATTTCCATCCCCTCCAGGGTGACTTCTAAGTAAGAATCAAGCTGAATTTCTTATTAAATCCCTACATTTAAGATTTTAAGCCCAAGGCCTGATGTGGTGGCACATGACTTTAATTCAACCTTCTTGGGGGCAAGGCAGGTGGATTTCTGTGAGTTCAAGGCCAGTATGATCTACATAGAGAATTCCAAGCCATCCAGGGCTACATAATGAGACCCTGCCTTTAAAAAAATAATTTAATTTAAAAATAAAATCATTTTAAGCCCAAATTTCAAATCAGAAGTAGACATTTTGGCCAGCCAGTGGTGTGGCCAATGATCTCGTGTTCCTCCTAAACTACAATGACTTCTCCTTTTTCAGTCTAGAAAGAGTGTGGTAACAATGAGCATTTCTTATTCCCGACTTTCTATGATCTGCATGTATCCATCCCCTCCAGCCCTCAGCAGCAGCTCTGTAGAACCACGGGGGACACGGGGAACTCCGTGATAGCATGTGCCTAGTGTGCCCAGACTCCAAAGACTCACACCGGGGTTGGTGTGAAGGGTGACGGAAATGCCTCCAGATGCTAATAGTGTCTGACTTCTGTTGGCCTCCATCCTCTGTGGGAAGTCAGGGCCCTGCTACCTTGCATCTCATGCCCAAATAGTGAACAGTGCCCGTCACAGCTGATCAGTGACAGAGGAGGGATACAGGGCATCCCCCTGGGTGGAGGGTCTCGGCATGCTGCTTGCCCCAAAGAGTGCCCAGTGAGTCTCCACATAGACATCCACGATATTCACAGCTCGCTGCTCTGATAAGAGCCCCTCTTTGGATTGTAGTTCATTCCTTCTGTAGACATGGAAGGTCATTGCTCTTTGTGTGAATCACCTGTGCCTGCCTCCTCCCCGCCCTATCCTGTGAGTCATGTGGTCCCACTCTGGCACCTAAGGGGAATTCAGGGCCTTCCCTGGAGATGTTATGGGTAGAGACCTCCAAGCCAAGGCAAGAATACAATCCTTGTTTCCCAGCACACACAGCAGGGCACAGCACAGCACACACAACACAGCAGAGCACAGCATGGCAGGGCTACATATAGGAAAGAACTCCACTGACTCAAAGGACCCACAGCACCTTTCTTCCATGGTCTCATTTTCCTCCCAAAAGAGGCTTCTATGTTGCTGAGGTAAGCCAGTGGGGCCAGGATTCTGGACTCTGGAAATCAGTAGTGCCTGCCAGTCAGCCCTAAACACACACGTGTCCATTCCCTGGCACCCAGGCACTTCCCCTTTCTCAGATATGACTAGCTGAGTGCACTGGGGTCATAGTGAGCATCATTGCATGGGCTTGGCTGTGCATTTGACACCCAGCCCTGCAGAGTCCCACCTTGGATTCCTGGTGCCCACTGTTAGGAGTACCAGGTACAGCCCAGGACAGATACTTGAATATCATCACCTCTACACTTCCACTCAGCAGAGCTTCTGGGTAGCAGGAGAGGGTCCCTGTTTAGAACTGCATGCTGTTCAGGGCATGGAGATAGATGCTAACCATCTCCTGTAGGCTCAGAAACAGTCTGTGGCTATGGTAGTCTCTCTGGTGAGAGCTGGGGCCAGGAGCAACACTGCCTCTGGCCTGATCTAAGTCCCTGCTTACTGCTGGATACCAGGCCAGCCCTCACAAGCACCCAATACACCTCCCTACACATTTACACATGCACACAGATGCAAACATACCCTCACATGCAGCATTCATAGACACAGATACACACATTAGCATACAGATGCAAACCCCTAACATGTGACCACTTACGTACAAACACATACATACTTATTCACAACTGTACACAATGACACAAATCCACACACGTATACACAAACACCTTACGTAATCATCCATGTCCAGAGATGTATAGAACACATATACCCATGCACACATAACACAGAAAAATACATACAAAGTCACATGAAGATCTTCATGAATACCTACATGTTCATTTATACAGACACACATAAATACATGTGTATTCAAATGTGAAAATACGCTGACACATCACGCATGTAGCTATGTACATAATCATGTACCCATACTCCCATACTTATACATAGGTACACATATGTGCATGGGCCCATTCACCAAAGTCTAGGTGCAGACGCCCAGGCATGCACCCGCATCCACATGTGGCTTCGCAAACATGGGTACCGATGGGATGGGACACTCACACAGACACAGTTGCTTTAGCATACGTATCCGCATGCAACTTCAGAGAGCACACAGACTGCACATGTTCATGCCCACATGTGCACATAAGCCCTCTTTGTGCAAGATCTGAGAGCAGGTGTTCTCTCTCCGGGCCTGGGTGAAAGCTGAAAGGCTAACAGCGGCAGGAAGGCGGGGCAGGGCGCAGAGACCCGCCCCAGTTACAGCTCCGGGCTAATTGTTTGGTTTGGCACTGTGCTCGGGATGCTGCCTCATAAACTTAATAATAGCTGCCCCCCTTTAATTTGTTTGACCTTGACGACAATAATTTATTATATGCGATGGAGTTCTGCCTGCTTTTTTTCTCCTAATTCATAAACAAAGCACTTGGCCTGGCTTCCTTCTCCACTCCGAGGCAGGGTCTTCTTGAATCCACAGTGACCGCTAGGGATGCAGGGAGGAGCCTGAAATTGCTCAGTGTTTCCACGATGCTGAGATGAGGTCCTCCAGCATGGTCTGGTCTGTCCTGTGACCTCTGCGTCCCTGGGCAGCCAGGACAAGGGCTGGAAGGAAGCTGGGTAGGAGCAGCCAGGGTGGGATGGAAGCCCCGGGGCAATGGGTGCCTGGCTCTCCCGCTCACCTCCTCGCCCTTTGTCTTGCAGAGGACCCCACTTTCCGCTGCGAGGAGTGCGATGAACTCTTCCAGTGCAAGCTGGACCTGAGGCGCCACAAGAAGTACGCCTGCAGCTCTGCGGGGGCCCCGCTCTACGAGGGCCTCGGGGAGGACCTCAAGCCCGAGGGCCTCGGCCGGGGCAGCGATGGGCAAGCTCATGAGTGCAAGGACTGCGAGCGGATGTTCCCCAACAAATACAGGTGCCGTCCCACCCCACCTCCCACTCCCTCCAGCTGGCGGCCCCTTGGTCTCCAGCCCACCTCCCTGTCAGTCTTGGACACTAGGGCTAGGAGACCAAGGCCTCCTACCTGCTGCCTCGCTGCACTGGGAACAGAGTAGGTGCACGTGGCTGGATGGAAGCTGCAGGTATTTTCTCACTGTAAAGGGCCTGGCCCCAGCAGGAGGACCCACTGGGCCTGGTCTGCAGGCCACTGGCACCATGGCCCTACACACAGCCTGAACTCTCTATTTTCACAGACCAGCATGGTCTTGCCACCACCTGACCCCAGTGATACTTTTGCAATAAGGCCCCAACCTGGGAGGTGCAGGGTGCAGCATAGAAGGGTTATAGAACAACCTTGTTCTGTGGACATACATGCCCTTCTCAGTGGACCCACTAAAGGATCATACATGGCCCTCATTCATGAGAAAATCCCCCTCAGATGGCAGCCACCTGCCAGGGAGAGACTGCAGAGCCATGGGCAAAGAGAGCTTCAAGCCCAGCTGAGTGACAGCCAGACACAGGCAGCTGGAGCAGGCCCAATCTGCCCTGAAGCCAGACCAATGTGGGGACCCAGGCACAGAAGCCTTGGGGACCTATATAAACCCCTGGGACAAAAGAGCATCCTAGGTTCTGGGTAGGGGAAGCCAGGACCACTGGCCCCAGTGCTCCGAGGCGTGGAAGAGTCTGAGAACTTTTCCAGCCTCAGAGGCCCTGCCTTTGAAGAGTTTGCTCAGGACAACCTTGCAAAGTCAGAGCAAAACCCCATCAGGCCGCTAACAGGCCCTATGATTACTAGGACTTTGCCACCAATCCCATCATGGACTCCCTGGGGACAGCAGACCCTCCACCCTGAGCAGATGACTGAGAAAAAGCGTGTGGGTAAATCCCGCCTGAGCGCGTCGCAGAGAACAGGGCTGAGAGGAGGGTCCGTGTTTTCTTTACATAAACACATAAATCACAATTAACAACAGCGAAAAGATACAATCTCTGGGAGCTAGAGGAGCAGGCGTTTCTGCTCTAAACGGATGGCTGGGCCCCGTAATTAACAGGCCGTGATATATTACTGCTTTGCTCATGAAGATTAACGGTCATCCTGGGGACAGGAGAGGCAGAGTCCCCAGGGAGGAGGGGATTAGGGGTTGCTAGTGCAGCCAAGAGGAGCCGGCCCCTAGAGCAGCTGTTCTCACTGCTGTGGTACTTCTCATCCACGACCCACTCCACCACTGCCCACCCCTCCTTGATTGGTATTTGGTCAGCCAGCAAGGGCTGACTTAAATTTCATGGCCTCCCTCTTACTCTGGGACTTATGACAGTGTTGGTACCCTGAACACTTTCTCTTAGGCTCAAGCTTTGTTGGTTTTGTTTGTTTTATCCTTCAAGATATGGGCTGGCTGTGTGGTACAGGCTGGCTTTGAGCTCGAAAGTCTCCTGCCTCAGCCTCCTGGATGCTGGGATTATAGTTCCAACCACAGCATCAGACACAGACTTAGCCCTTAACATTGGGATCATCTGACAAGGATCGCCTAGGCTTCCACCCTGCCCCTGGCTGGCTGGGGGGACAGGGCAGCTTTGAGTCAAGGTGGCTCGGGCACTGACTTCTTCCTCTAAGATGGGTAGGCTGTCTGCCCTTATTCCCAGTGACCTCAAAAAGAGGAAGAGTATGGACCTGCGGTCAGCATGCGCTCTGGTTCCCCTGCAGCATGCAGGGGCCACACACAGGAGAGCAAACCATATGGGATAGGGGACCTCCTCGTCCAGACAAATGGACCCTAGAGTGATCCCCATCCTCTGTACACAGCTTGGAGCAACACATGATTGTCCACACGGAGGAGCGTGAGTACAAATGCGACCAGTGTCCCAAGGCCTTCAACTGGAAGTCCAACCTCATCCGCCACCAGATGTCTCACGACAGTGGCAAGCGTTTCGAATGTGAAAACTGCGTCAAGGTACCGGCACCCGCCCCGTAGAGCATGCACTCACCTGTAGGCTCTCCTTCTACCCCACTGTGGAAAACTCCTGAGAGACTGAGAGATATAGCGTAGTGGATCAGATGCCCTGAGCTCATCAGGTCCTTCCGCATTACTGAGAAGGGCAGAAAGTCTCAGAGATTATGTCATCAAGCAGCCCTGCAAAAAAACAGAGCCAAGACCAGAGCTGAGTCTTCTCAGGGGCAGCCCTGTGCCCCCTGCCAGTGTGCAATGCCGAGGGTGGCAGGGGCGAAGCCCCCAGACCCAAGACCATCCGGTTAGTGCTCTGGAAAATACTGAGTATTTTTGGAGTCTCTGAGTCACAGTATTCTGAGGCCACTGGCAGGGAAATCGAGGCCAGGAAAGGTTCCGCATCCCACTAAGGTCCCTCTAGTAATCACTGCTACAGCGAGACCTGTATCAACCATCTCAACGCAGGGGTGACAAGGGAGAGTGGCAGGGCCCAGCCCGCAGACCCATAGGCTTACAGTGGCATGCATGCGCCAACAGCATCTGTTCCCCTAGGTGTTCACGGATCCCAGCAACCTCCAGCGTCACATCCGCTCACAGCACGTTGGTGCCCGTGCCCACGCCTGCCCCGACTGCGGCAAGACCTTTGCCACATCCTCTGGCCTCAAACAGCACAAACATATCCACAGCACGGTGAAGCCATTCATATGTGAGTTGCCCAGCCTGCCCCTGCCAGGTCCCCGCTGAGGACCCCCCTCTACCCAGCCTGTCCCCACCAGGTCCCCGCCATCTACCCAGAAGCCTCTATAGCTGGTCCTAGTTGGATACAAGGCATGTGATACCATGCCACTACCTTGCTGGCTCTCCTCCATGTTTATAGACACACCCTTCTCCCCTTCCGACGTCCCACATCTTCCCACACCTCCAGATTTCCTTGCAGTAGCTGGAGGGACATAGTAGGCGAAGCTGACTCTAATGATGGAGATTTCTGGAAAAGGGGCCAGTTGCCCTCCCTCCCTGTGTTCCCACCCTCACTGAGCCCCAGCTGGACCTCTGAGTATGACTGTCCCCAATGACATATTCTGGGCACCATGTCTCCTAGGGGGGGTCTGAATGTGACCATTTCTAGATGGCATGCCCTGAGCATGGTGCTTCCTAAGGACCTCCTGGCATCCGTGGCCCTTTCTCCCTTTGTCTTTGGTCTGGCCCGTCTCTGCAACCTTGCTTTGGCCAAGGGTAATCAACTAAAAAGAAATGTCCAGAAGTGGACAGGCAGGACTTATGAGCATGCTATGCAATCCGAATGACACACCTGTGCAAGATAAGTGTGATGTGTGTGGTGATGGATCACTGTGTGCATCCTCCAGACCATGGTGTGTGCGGAGGGTGGAGGAAGCTCGGGAGTCTAGTAATGTGGCCCTTCCGAAGAAGAGTCCCCAGTAACCAGGCACTGGCTACATATAAGCAAACTCTACGTCTGCCTGCCAAGTGACACCTGGGTGTGCAAACAATGTCTAGAAGCCCGCAAATCCTCACCTCACTGAGCGCAGAGACCAGGATAGCATCTTTTTCATCAGGGAGCTCAGATGTGGATATGGGGGGCGGGGGTGGCAAAATGAAAGGGGGGGAGAAGAAAGTGTCTGGGCCACAGAAACATTCTTAGGATACTTTTCAAAAGAAAATCTTTGAAGGAATTGTGTGCATGTGTAAGAGTGTACAGTATGAGCTAGTAAGTTGGCACTATTACCCCTCCCCGGGTGCATGTGTGTGTGTGTGTGTGTGTGTGTATGTGCGCGCGCGCGTGCACGCATGCACGCATGCATGCTTGCCTGTGCTCTTATGCATCTACACACATATCCCAGAAGGAAAGGGATTCATCAGATTCCCTTGGCAGATTCATCAGCTCTGCTTCTCATACCCAACACAATGTGACAGTCAGCACTCTCCCCATTCCGGAAGCTGCCACCTTCTTTGGGTGGCTCTGGCTGCCTGGCAGCCATTCTCCATGTCTGGGACCTGCCCTTCCTGGGACTGCCCAGGGATCTACAACCCATCTGCCACAGAGTCCTCTTCCCCGGTTGTAGTAACAGGTAGGAACCAAGGGTCCTTCTGTCCCAGGAGGGTCCTGAGTAATGGCAGGAGGTTGTATGTAGGTATCACCAGGATCCTTGGGGACCCAGGAACATAGCAAGGGTGCTGATTGTCTAGTCTGTCCAGGTAACCTGAGCTTGAGATCTGCCTTGTGGTTCCCTGTGGGAGACCAGGAATGAGGTGAGGCTATTTATAGACCATCTAAATGTGGTACCTCTCCCAGAACAGTATCCCAAAAAGGGAAGATTTGATTAAATGAACCAAAGTTTGACTCCTTTCAGCCAGAAAAATGTCCTGCCATGATGACCAGGAAGGCGGGGCAGCTAATATAAATAGATACTGTGATTAAAGTATGTGATAGTCTCAGAGAAAAGACGTCTCAGCTAAAGTGGCAACTCGAGATTTGTAGAAAGGCTACAATCGCTGTTTCGCTGTTTCCCCCATGCTGCAGAAAGCAGACTGTCCTGTGGGGAGAGTCACAGGGTGTGTGTGTACGTGTGCATGTGTGTGTGTGTGCGTGTGCGTGGGTGTGTGTGTGTGCGCGCGCATGTGTGTGCGTGTCCCTGACAGTGGGAGGAGAGAGAGGATTATAAGGGTTTGAGTGTGTGGAGGGATGTGCAACATACACACAGTGTGTGTGTATGTGTGTGTGCATGTGTGTGCGTGTCCCTGACAGTGGGAGGCAAGAGTGTGTGGAGGGATGTGCACCATACACACATACCTTCTTTATGGTAGAAAAGGAGAAAGACTGGTGAATATTCCAGTTCCCAGGCTTCAGGAAGGTAGCTCTGTGGTCTTCTGAGCCTCTAGGCTAGACTGAGGTTCCGCTGGTATTACCCTGTCCTGTAAGAGACCTGATGGTGTCTGTCAGCTAGAGCAGACCCTGCTGCACCCCCAAACTGAGAGACCCTTACTAGGAGGCTTTCCAAGTTTGAAAGCATGGGCCCAGCCCTTCCCCTGAAGGTCACAGACAAAGCTTCACTCCATTTTTGGCTAACCCCAAAACTGGATAAGCCCTGCTCCCCAACCCAGACCCTAACTCTAGGACTCCTGAGAACTGCTGGGGCATCCCTTCCTGAGATGCTGGTGGCAGGAACTGGAACAGAGATGGGGACAGAAAGAAAGTGGCATTTTAGACTAGGAAGAGGGGGCTGCTCCCTTGTAGAAACAGACAACCAAGGTCACTACCTTGAGGCAGGTCACGTGGATGTTCTGAGCTAGCCACCTCCTAGTCCAATGAGACTAGGTGTTGTGTGTCCTTGCTCTACCCTCACACAAACCTGGGCCACAGACGGGCTTCCCAGTGGCTTCCAAAGATCACAGTGTAGGAATTAGCTATACTTCAGGGTGAGAATCAGCCGCCAATAAACATGCCACGCTTCCTACCACAGAAGGCTAAGACACCATGGTCCCCCGTGCCAGGACCCCAGGGAAAAGGCGTGGTGATCTTTGCCAGCCCCCAGCCTGCGTCTGTACCTGGGAGTCACGGGGATCTCACACCGAGTCTCTACTTGCCTCCTGTGGGTGTTTCAGGTGAGGTCTGCCACAAGTCCTACACGCAGTTCTCCAACCTGTGCCGGCACAAGCGGATGCACGCGGACTGCCGGACTCAGATCAAGTGCAAGGACTGTGGGCAGATGTTCAGCACCACCTCCTCCCTCAACAAGCACCGGCGCTTCTGCGAGGGCAAGAACCATTACACGCCGGGCAGCATCTTCACCCCAGGCCTGCCCTTGACCCCCAGCCCCATGATGGACAAGACAAAACCCTCCCCCACCCTCAACCATGGGGGGCTAGGCTTCAGTGAGTACTTCCCCTCCAGACCTCATCCTGGGAGCCTACCCTTCTCAGCGGCCCCTCCAGCCTTCCCCACGCTCACTCCGGGATTCCCAGGCATCTTTCCTCCATCCTTGTACCCACGACCGCCTCTGCTACCTCCCACGCCACTGCTCAAGAGCCCCCTGAACCACGCGCAGGACGCCAAGCTCCCCAGCCCGCTGGGAAACCCAGCCCTGCCTCTTGTCTCTGCGGTCAGCAACAGCAGCCAGGGTGCCACGGCGGCCACGGGGCCAGAGGAGAAATTTGACGGCCAGTTGGAAGATGCGTACGTCGAGAAGGTCAAAGCCAGGAGCCCTGACATGTCGGACGGCAGCGACTTTGAGGACATCAACACCACGACGGGGACAGACCTGGACACCACCACGGGCACAGGCTCAGACCTGGACAGTGACGTGGACAGTGACCGAGACAAGGGCAAGGACAAGGCCAAGTCATCTGAAAGCAAACCTGAGTTTGGGGGTGGATCAGTGCCCTCTGGGGCCATGAACAGTGTGGCCGAGGTGCCGGCCTTCTACTCCCAACACTCCTTCTTCCCGCCACCCGAGGAGCAACTGCTGACGGCCTCGGGAGCCGCCGGCGACTCCATCAAGGCCATTGCATCCATCGCTGAGAAGTACTTCGGGCCTGGCTTCATGAGCATGCAGGAGAAGAAACTAGGCTCGCTGCCCTACCACTCTGTGTTCCCCTTCCAGTTTCTGCCCAACTTCCCCCACTCTCTCTACCCCTTCACGGACCGAGCCCTCGCCCATAACTTGCTGGTCAAGGCTGAGCCAAAGTCACCCCGGGATGCCCTCAAGGTGGGCGGCCCCAGTGCAGAGTGCCCCTTTGACCTCACCACCAAACCAAAAGAGGCCAAGCCTGCCCTGCTCACACCTAAGGTCCCCCTGGTCCCCTCATCCGGTGAGGAGCAGCCGTTAGACTTGAGCATCGGCAGCAGGGCCCGGGCGAGCCAGAATGGAGGCAGCCGTGAACCACGGAAGAACCACGTCTACGGTGAACGGAAGCCAGGGGTTGGCGAGGGGCTGGCTAAGGTCTGCCCAGCACAGCTGCCCCAGCAGCCATCCCTGCACTATGCCAAGCCCTCGCCCTTCTTCATGGATCCCATCTACAGGTATTAACATGGCCTGCCCTCACTCTCTCTCCCCAGGGGCCCACATCCATGGAGTTATTAGGTGGGGACTCTGTTTATCACCCTTTCTCTCTCAGCCTCCTAACTCGTGCATTCGTTGGCATCAGGGAGGAGCTTCAGTCCATGAGTGTCCCAATGTTCCCTCAGGGGTAGCATCTTCTACCTTTTTTTAAATATTTATTTATTTATTTATTATGTATACAATATTCTGTCTGTGTGCATGCCTGCATGCCAGAAGAGGGCACCAGACCCCCATTACAGATGGTTGTGAGCTACCATGTGGTTGCTGGGAATTGAACTCAGGACCTTTGGAAGAACAGGCAGTGCTCTTAACCTCTGAGCCATCTCTCCAGCCCCAGCATCTTCTACCTTGAGCCTCTCCGTTAGACCCATCTCCCATCAACTGTCTTTATGGAAACTAACCTCCACTTCCCATGAGGGTCAGCACACCCTGCTCTACCTCTGAGAACTTGCTCCGTCTCTCTGCAGCTTTGCTCTCCTGAGACTGCCCTGTGGCCCCATACTGCCCTAGAGCCATACTAGGGGGGCCTCTGGGTTGCTGGTCTTGGTAGGGCAGAATTCTTGCCTGTCTGATACTGGTTCCAATGAAGGGCAAGTTTGAATCCACTCCCTGACTTATGGAAAGGCATTGAGCTTCCCGAAGAAGCAGGTGGGCTTGCAGAGGAGGGCCAGGCCCCATGTTTGGAGCCCTAACCCTGCCAGCATGTCACCGACTCTGCCGGGTGAGGGAGTCACAGGGAGTAAGAAGTGGGTGATCCTAGGAAGGGGGTCATACATTTGACATTGACCCTGCTTTGTCAGGCATGTCTGTGCAGATGTGTGAGCACGCATCAAGAGATATTCAGGGAACAGGCCTGTGTGCCTGTTGTCTCCTCGGGGCTAGCCATGGCGTGAGGACTGGGGATGGACCCACAGCTCTAAGAGAGGCAAGCAGGTGATAAAGCTGTGGGAAAATCCCAAGGGAAGCACACTGAACAGCTGCTACCCAGGGGACATGGCCACCTAGGCCTACAGGTATCTGTCTACCAGGCCCCTGGCTGCACCTTCCCCGCCCGGCCATGCTTCTGTTTTCTGGCAGATCCTGGCTTCATAATCCCAGGAAACAAGAAAGATATCCATCAGGTGTTTCTTAGAAAATGTGCCTCCCACAGCTCTCATGAGGAAGTGCTGAGGCTCCAGAGAGGAAAGAGAGGAGGAAGTACTAGTCAGAACTTTACTAAGGCAGGAAGCAAAAGGCACCAACTGCCCCATGGGCTCACTCAAAACATAAGCAGGTACTTAGAAGACAAACAGAGCCTCTGGCTAGACCCCACGGCTGGGGGAACTTTGTGTGAACCCCCTCCCAGCCTTTCCTACTGCCCCCTGCCCGACCCATCTACCAAACTGATCAGACCCTCACACATTTTCTGTAAGCTGTAAGGAATCCATGGTCAGCCTGAGAGAAGAGAATCATGGGAACTGACCACAGGAGCCCAGAGTCTCCCTTAATATCCTCATGTGGTCTCTACTCGTAACGTCAGGAAGCTAGGCTGAGTGCTGGTCCTTCGGACCAAGACTGTGGCCACTGGCGAGACAGGAGCCTCTGCAGACGGATGAGCTCAGGGGAAGCAACAGCAATGTTTTTGCACTGTGCAGGTCCTCTGTAAAATGGGTCCTGAGTGGGGGACAAACATGTGTTTTCAGAATCCCCACTAGGCGAAGGCACAGGAGACTAGGACAGAGTGCAGCCAGACCGTAAGGAGGGTCCTGAGCTGCCCCGCTGCTGCCACAATGCTAGGCTCGTCATCAAGGCCCTCCTTTCTCTGCCAGCATCACCATCCCGAGATGACTGAAAGGCTGTGTCTGTCGTGAGAGACCCCTCCCCACGGCAGGCAGGCCTTAGTTACCTGAGTGAAGCCCCAGGCTGACAGCTCTTGTCAAGTGTCTTGGTATTTATTTCTACCCCTTCTTAAAGCCCTTCCTATGGCCACCCCAGTTCTTGATTTCCTCACTGTCTCCTCTGGGGACCTACAGCTGCAATGCCCACGTCTCCTGCTGCTGTTCCCCGGAGGGCAGGGAAGCAAAGGCTCCAGCTGACAGAAGGGGTAAAATGAGGCCAGGCCAGGCCTCAGGTGGGATGCAAGAGAGCAACTTAGGAACAGCTCGTGCTGGTGTCTTTGGGGGGCAAGAGGGTCCGCGGGTTTAGACAAAACACCTCAGGGATTTCTACACCACCAATGCCTGAGATAGGAGTGCAGCCTTTGCAATGCGGAGTAACTTGTGGGTGTGCTGGAGACCCCGAGGGCAGCACCACACAGGTATGACCAGCCAGTGGACAGGAGGCTGGTGCAGGTGGAGCCTTCAGATAACGTCTATACTGCAGCACAAAACGTTCTGTAAACAGTCGGAGAGGATTCAGGAGAGCTCAGAGAAGATGGGGAGAGTGTGAAGGAACCACTGAGTGGGTGGGTCCTAGGACAACTGGGAACTGGGGGTGTCTGTGCAGTGGGCAGTTGTGCCTTGTCCCCACTGCCCTCAAGGCCCATTGGAATTCATGTAGGGGCCAGCTGGGCAGCCCTGTGGCCACCTCCACAGCAACCTCATGATCAACGCGGCACAGGCATGTTACGGAGGACCAAGTGGCTCGGTGGGGTGGGGTATGTAACCCTCTGTGTTGCTGTCCAGCAGGGTAGAAAAGCGGAAGGTGACGGACCCTGTGGGAGTCCTGAAAGAGAAGTACCTGCGGCCGTCCCCACTACTGTTCCACCCCCAGGTAACAACCACAGTGGGCATCTGAGATGGGTGTCCTTAGACTCCACAAGAACAAGCTCTGGACCTGGGGGCGGGGTTCTGGTTCCCCGGAAGTAGAGGAGCCTTTCTTTAGATCCTGTAGATCACTGTGGAGATGGAGAACATAGGGGAGTTGCTGTTCTCATAGAGAAGCCCTCGGGGGTTTGTCTAGGGGCCTCTTGCCCATGCTTGGAGCCCCATGCTTGGGAGAGCCCCAGGCCCTAGGAATGTAACTGATTCGGGATGCCAAAAGGACCACAGTGTCAGACATAAGGAAACCCTGGGGCTGGTATTCCTGAGCTGGGTGATACGTTAGCCTGCTTCAATGCAAGGACCAGATAAAAGAAAGAGGCAGGGGCAAGACTGAGCAGAAGGGAGAGGAGCAGAGGGAACACAGAGGAAGCCAGACATTCACAAGCAGCCCCATGGAACCTTGGAACGCCCCGCATTCAGGAAGTGGAGCATAGACCCCTCCAGCCTACAAATGTCCCTGCCTGTGCCCCCGGGCCACATGCTCCCCCACCTCCCAAGGGCACAGTCCAAGGGAAAGTCCTCCAAGTGTCCTGTCCTGTCGTCATCGCAAGAGGTCTGGCCCCTCCTATGGGCTGCAGGACTTAGCCCTTATGCCTCCCTCGCCACCAGCGAATCTTAACCCTGCTTAGAGCATTGTTCTGCCCTGAGCTTCCCGCCTTGGGTAAGCCCCAGTCTGTGAAACCTGCACACTGGCTGAGTTCACAGCTAAACTTAGAGCTCCCATTGTTCCATCGGGCCTCAGAGTTTGGTTAATAGCTTCCCCCAATTTTCCCAGGGCCGACTGGAAAAAGTCGAGAAGCCAGCCAGGCGCGTCCGGTGTTTGTGTTTGTGCTCGGAGCTCACGGGAATGTCTGATGGGGCCAGGCAAGCAGGACCCACCCGACTTGAGGAAGAGAGGCCTGCGGGGGGCCAGCTGTCCATTGTCCCTTCTGCCCACTTCTCCCATGGGCCTACGTTCTCTGCCTGCCCTCGTGGCCTAGAGCCAGGATGAGGAGGCAGAAAAGAGATGACTTATGGTCACCAGTTAAATGGTCTGATAGACTGTCTGTCACTTAGACAGAAAGAACCTGGTAACCGTGGAAAGAAGGCTTCCACGAGACAGACATTATGACTGTGCAGGGACCTTAAATAACCTGTCCCTTCCAGTGCCCAGCCCCGTCATCCCCAAGCCCTTCTGGATCTGAGACTTGACAAGCAGATGTGAAGCTGTTAGGGTGCTGCCCACCAGTGAGCATGAGTTGCAAAGATTGAGTGTGGTGTGAGTGGTCCCATCTCAACAGGCCAAAGCACGAAATCTCTATAGCCTCTGCAGAGCTGTCCAATGACTACTCACCATTGTAGCTGGACACAGTGTCCACTCAACTGCCTTCTATGGGTTTCTGTTACAGCCCTGCCGTTGTTTCCCCAGATACCAAATGCCTCTGCCTTATGAGGCTTCCAAGTAGCAGTAGTACAAAGCCCTCCATTCCCTGTTGGCAGTGCCCAGCAAACAGAGCCCATGAGGATGCTTTTGGGCACTCCAACAAGGAGCTGAAGGGCTGACTGGAGCCATGCAGAAGGATCACAGCCCTGTGGCTTGCTGCTGCCTTTGCTAACTCACGGGCAGCTGGGTCCCAGGTTCTGGCATCACTGGACAGCTTGTGCAGGGGCCTAGCACTCAGCAGAGGCAGCTGGCCACGAGTGAGGAGCCTGGTGAGGAGGTCACACCTTCTCTTCCTGTTCACCCATACTCCATTGGTGAGGTCTAGTCTCTCCCAGCATTCCCAGTGCTAGGAGAGCCTGCACCTTTCTCCTCTGCATCCCCACCCACACCTGCCCCACCCCTGTCTTCCTTTGCCTACTCCCACCAGCCCTGTTTCTGTGGTCTGCAAGGAGAAACTGGCCTCTGGGATAAACGTTTAGCAGAGGCATATAGACTAGGACACCTATTTCAACTCGTGATGGGTCCCACGAAATTGTTCCATGAGTTTCTTTAACTCCTCTATTGGATTGGCCCTTGCCTTATCCTCCCATGGTTTCCATGGGACGGACAAGAGAGGCACAGCCTTGTGATCAGTGCCCGGAACACCAAAGCCTTCAGTCTCAGTGGAGCCCGTATAGCCTGGAGTTCAATCAAACTCTGCCTACCAGGTTGAAAGGACCATAGCTCCAGTTCTAAAAAGGACAAGGACAGAGTAAGCTGTGGCCCTGCCTCCAGTGACCACCTGAGGGTGACTGATATGATTAGACACAGGGACCCCAGGTGTCCACTCTCTGAAGACAGATGACAGCTAGGCTGAGTCCGTGATCTCTGCCTTCTCCATGCCTGCAGATGTCAGCCATAGAAACCATGACAGAGAAGCTGGAGAGCTTTGCAGCCATGAAGGCCGACTCAGGCAGCTCCCTGCAGCCCCTGCCTCACCACCCCTTCAACTTCCGGTCCCCACCCCCGACGCTCTCGGATCCCATCCTCAGGAAGGGCAAGGAGAGATACACGTGCAGGTGAGGCTCTGCATGCCCCTTGGAGTCACAGGGAAGCTCGGTGAGGGTATTGGCCCGCTGTCTGCTCCCTGTCACCTGCTACACATAAGAAACATGGGTAGGGCTTCTAAAACCATCTGCTGTGCCGGACCATCTGAGCCTCACCTGGCTGAGCTCAGAAGCCAGAGGAGCACGGCCGGACGGCATTCGCCAGAGCACTAGGAAGGAAGGTGAGCCCAGGGCTGCAGTTTCTGCCGTTGGCCATGGTGTTGGGAAGACATGCTCCTAAGGCTCCCTCATCCCAGCCGCTACGGCCCCCAGACTGAAGAAGTGATGCCCGTCCCTCTGCTCTGTGCTTTGTTGAGATGTCTGGACTAAGTAGGATTCTGGCATGGCAGTTCCTCCCACCAGCCATGAGGCCTCTGAGCTGGGCTCTGCATGAGAAATCTGGAAAAGGGCAGTATGGACCACCCTAATGCCTCTCCCACCTCTTCCCTCTGCCCCAGGTACTGTGGCAAGATCTTCCCCAGATCTGCGAACCTCACAAGACATCTGAGGACACATACTGGGGAGCAGCCATACAGGTAGGAGCTGCCCAGTGTTAGTATGGGGGGGTCCCTGTTTGCTTTCATGCACCCTGCCTCCGAGCAAACACCTACATTCAGATACACCCACAGAGCTGTGGTCACCAGAGGGTCAGTGGGACAGAAACCACAGCGCTCAGTGTGTCTCCCTCAATCTCCCAGCCCACCACCCTCTAGCTCCCTGGAATAGTATAAGGATGAGGCAGGGAGTGCCCAGGAAATTTCTAGAAGGCTCCTTCCATGCTCCCAAAAGAAGATGTAAAAGAACCATTCTCCTCCTGTAGCTAAAGTGTCAACCAGGGCAGACAATCAGAATCAGAGAGAGATGTGACTTGAAGCTAGATTCTCCACAGGTCCTGGGGGACCCTTAGCCAGCCAGCCCCATCCAGTCCTGTCCTTGACATAAACACCATAGCCAGCTCCTCCCCAAGGATGACCTCTTAACAAAAATGGGGTGCCCCTGGTTCCCCGCAGCAGCCCTGAGTGGGAAGCCACGCATGTGTTGCTGAAGTAGAGAGTGGACCACTCTGTATCTCGGGAATCTGAGAGTCGCTGAGTAACAGAGCCGCCTCCCGGTGGATCTTACTATCCCTGCTTCAAAGCTGAGGAGTGTCCGCTTAGAGGCGTCCTGAGATTCTCCAAGGGGTGGAACCGAGGGCCACTTTTGCCTGCTCTTCCAGCCCCAGGTGCCTGTCCTTTGTGCCCTTGAGCTTTTGTTTTGCACCAAGAAGGGCTGAGGATGCCGCTGTTCCTTGCCCCGTGCTCCCAGCCAGGGAGTAGGCCTTTTAAAACAGAACTCAGGCAATTGTCACCCTGAGACAAACAGGGAAACAGCCACTTCTCTGCCAGGACCAGTTTAGCAACACGTTCTGGGGTGTGTCTAGCCAGCCGAGGCTTTGCGAAAGAGTCTAGGTTGGTTTTAGACCAATGGCATTAGATTCCTGCACTGTGCCCATGCGGTGCTTGTCACCAGGGAGTAGCTGTGGGGACTCGGTCTGTGTGCCCTTCCCTGCGGCAGGCATCCCACTTGGGCACGCATGTGTTGTGATCCCCAAGCCCCAGTCGGGTTTACAGAGAATCCCTGGTGGCCATGCGCCCACATCTGTGCTAGCGGAGTGAACGACAGCTCTTTCTAGTTCTGTGTCCCGTGCCTCCCAGCCCTCCGCGACACGTAGCCCCCCCCCCCCCCCCCCCCCCCCCCCCCCCCCCCCCCCCCCCCCCCCCCCCCCCCCCCGCATCCTCGCATTGATTCCTAACTAGCACACACGTGAAGAGAAGGCATGACTGACATTCTACTNGTCTGCTCTCTGAAAATAGTGACTTACAACTTAACAAAGGCGAGCAACAGAAAGATTTATTTGGTCTGGTCCTCGCCCAGAAAACGAGCCCCGTGTTTTTTCTGTAATGAGAGCCGACTCCTGGACAGTGTGTCGTGCTAAGAGCCCCTAGAGGGTAGGGGCCGTGTTTATAGAAGAATTTAATTATCATTGATTTCTTTTGCTCTCTCCAATCTGAGCGTTTCGACTTTGGTAACAATAATTGCTTTGCAAGTTTGTGTTGCAAATCCTGACTTTATCTGGCTCGAGGCAGGCCCTCGCCGAGGGGTTTAAAGCGTGCAGCTTGCCTCTTCATATGGCTGGGGACCTTGGTCTTGCTCTGATAACTGGAGAGAGTTTTAACTTGTTCTAGCCCATCCTAGAAGTCCACTGCACAAGACAAAGGCCTGGAAAGGGCGCTTGACCCACGGGTGACGCTCACCTCACCGTCAGCTCATGTGTGCGTGGTCACTGTGTGTTCACATGTGGGTATAGTCACCCTTCAGAGTCTGGGATCTCCCGGAGAAGATGAAGGTTGCCTTGGGTGATGAGGAAGTCCTCGGAAATACACCCATTTCACACATGTCTCTGTGTCCTGCCACGGGGTGGCCTCTGCTTTCCCCAGGGACAACTTTCCCACATACTCCAGCCAGGAAGCAGACTTTAGCACACAGCTTCTCCTGGCTTTGAAATCTTTGCCTGAAGTTGGAGAAACACACTTAATGATACTCTCATGTCCTAAAACTCCAGTATGCAGACTTTATGGAACTTGGGTTGCAGAGGTGGAAAGATCTGATCTACCGGGGCAGGAGAGAGATGCTCTTGCAAGCATGAGAACAGCACCCACATAGAAGCTGAGCATGGCAGGGTGTCCCTTAGCCTCGCTGCTACCTGGGCAGAGACAGGACGGTCCCTGGAATTTTCTGGCTAGCCAGTCTAGTGAAGTCCAGGTTCAATGAGAGACCCTCAAAAAATACGGTTAAAAAAAAAAAGAATAGAAGACACCCGGTGTCAACCTATGGCCTCCACACATGTGTGCACTCATATGCATATATGCATGCATGCACACACATACACATGAACGTGTATACACACGGATAAGTTTTTAACTAAAATCTTAAACATGGAAAAGCTGAGGAGAAAAGGTCTGTACCCCAGTACACCTCCTTCCAACTTCGATGTAGAGGCTCTCTGGCTGCTGGGCGTAGCCTGCAGCGTACATGGACGCAGACCTTCCTGGACCAACCTGGAACTCCTGGTCAGGCCTGTGACTCCCGCTTCGGGGATGTACACCTCCCAGTGTGCAGCTGTGTTTCCTTCCCAGCTCCTGTTCCGTGTCCTGTGTTAGAAAAACTGGCAGTGTCCGGCGGGGCTGCAGGTGGCTCCTGCAAGCCCTCTTCCTTATTTATTTTTATTCTTAGAACATTTTTTATCTCTTCTTTCCTTTTTCTGGCCTAACTTTTAACGTGATGAAGCCATGATGGCTGGCAGTAGCCCTCCTGTGTCTCAAGGAAGACGCTGGTGCCTGGAGGCCGAGAGGCGTGGCTTCACCCTCTCCTGCCTTGTGCATCCCCGCTTCCCTAAAACTGCCACGGGGCAACAGGCATGGTCACAGCACGGTCCTCCCAGAGCTCTGCGCTGGCCGCCTGTGCCCTCTCATTTCTGTGAGCACAATGGTGTGTTGCTTTATGCAGCTCGGCTGTAAATTTCCCGAGTCGTCTGTCAGCTTATTCACAGTGCAGAGCCCAGCTGCTGGGTGAACTCTGCTCCCTCACGGCCCTGGGCTCTCTACTCCCCTAAATTTCAAGTGGACGTCTCAGCCTGGGCCATTTATTTAGATTAGAACAAGGAGAAGCTACATCCAGAGCACTGCATGCAGACAGAACACACAGCCCAGCCCAGCCCCAGAGCCTCTACCCTCGAGCCTCCCTCCCCTGACACCCCCTCTCCGTCTCTACATCCTCAGCATTCCCATGCTTAGGAGTCTATGCCAGAGCTAGGGGGCGGGTGGTGTGCGAGGGGACCTGTCAAAGAGTCTCTGCGTTTCCTGAGGAACCAAAAAAAAAAAATGAACTTTGTGATATGCTTCAGACAGACAAGCAGACAGGGGCTGCCTGGCTGACCTACCACATCTGCAGAGAACTCTCTTCCTGGTGGAGCGAATTCCCAGTCCCATGGGCAGCCTGGCTTTGGCTTTACTCTGCAGATGCAAATCAAGTTTCCTTTCCTGAGAGGTCACCCCCAGAGAGCAGGAAGACCTGGGCCTGGCTCCATCAAGGTGTCTATGTGTTTCAGGGTGTGGGGGGAGCGCAGGTGAGAGGTGAAATTCCTTCTGAACTGTTGCCTCTGTTGGAGGCTGCAGAGCCTGGAGGACTGATGTCTGTTATTGCTAGGCTAAGAAAACCCGCAGAGATACCTCCAGGGCATACTTTGCAGGCTGCTTCCCAGGCTGTGGGAAGAAATGCTGCGCCCAAGGACGCCCATGTGCCCTAGAGGCTGCTCAGGGCAACCAAAGATAGGAGAGGCTTCAGAGGAAGCTGCTGGCTCTTGAAGAGCCTGGCGAGGCGGCTAAAAGTATAAAAGGAGTGGGGCGGCTGGAGGCTGCAGGTACTGCATCAGTGAGCTGTGAAGAGCAGTACAAGGAACTCAAGGTTGGGGGTGTCAGTTGTGGCCAGGAAGAGCCTGGGCAAGAGGAGGGGCCCCTCTCAGAGCAGCCTCCCTTTCTGTAGGGGCTTCACCTTCCTAGGTTTTATATGGCAGCCAGGGACCAGAGGGCTTGCAGGCCCTGAGAGTCCAAGGGCAAAGTTAGTAACTGCAACCCTTACGGGTTCTGAACTCAGCGGGGACAGAAAACACAGGCAGACACACCCTGTCATAACACATGGTCAGGCCCCCTGGGCAGGGGCCCACGCTACCCACCCAGACCTCCAATCTTCGTCTCTGGGCCTGGCTCCTCCTCTAGTGGACAGCACAAGGCTATAAAAGCAGCTTCTGATACAGCCCCTCCTGGCTGTGTCCCTGGCGTCCTCGGGCATGTCCTCAACCACATGACAAAGGCTCGTGACCAGAGTGTTACTCCAGAGCAGGCCGCCAGACCCAAATCGCAGTGACGGTGGGGCCCGTAGGAATGCAAGGCTGCTGTATTTAGAACTGTCACACATCCCTGTGGGTGAAGAAAAGCCCCCCATCTTTGTCCTCACTGAGGCTGACATCATAGGTTCTGGCTCCACAAAAGAGGGCGGCCTGTCTCATGGTGCCGGCCCTGGAGATCTTCGGTATTGCACTGTCACCTAACAGGACTCATTTCCAAAATGTGAGCATATACAGTCACAGAAACATAGTTTTCAAGTGCTGCGTGCCTCTAAGATCCAGATAAGTACCCAGAAGTCATTGTGATGGCCAGTTTCACAGGTATTTCCGCATATACCTGAGACACACATGCACTTGCACATGTGTGCGCACATACACACATTGCATGCATGCACATACATGCATAAAAAGCACGGCATCAGGATTGCTGCTGTAGGGTCTACCCGTGTGGACAGGCCCTCGGGAAGAAGCTGTCAGCCACCCCACAGCTCAGACATTGCTCCTTTCGGAGGCCGCTCACGTGTTCTGCAGAGCTTGGAAGGCTTCTTCTTACATCACTTGCCACTCTTTGTTCTGGGCTTGGCTTCTTTGTTGTGGGCATTGCTTGGGCCTGTTATAAAACTGGGGGAGAACAGGCCTCTGTTCTCGGCTGTTAGGGCCACTGAGGCCACACCTGGAGGCACACGCACAGCGGACAACCCTCACTGCCGATGGCCGCTAACTGCATCATGATTTCTGATAAAAATGTGTGCTAGCTGCTAGCATTGTTTTTCCAGTTTGAGTGCCTGGTAAACCTAGTGGGGGCGTGACAATAATCTGAGCCCGCAGGAGCTGGTGGTGCCTTGAAGGGCTCAGTATGGCTACCAGCTGGCCTCAGCATCAAAGCCACAAGGCCAAAAGTCCCCATCTAACCTTTAGGGCTACTGAGAGCATTAGAGAGTTACACTGAGTCCCTAAGTGATATGGGGCTTGTCTAAGGTCTTCAGTCAGAGGAGCCAGGGCCAGGCCTTCCTGTGATGGAGAAGATAGAGCCTTCCCATCTCAGGGTAACCTGCCAGCCTGTTTAGCCTCGTTTTCATGTTTCAAGGCTGCCCTCTTGAGGCTGACTGGAGAATGTCATCTCACACTGTGTCCCCCTTGGCTTCTTACTCCTTCCACTAGCTGGGGCAATTTAAACAGAGCTTAGATGTCTCTAGAGCAGCGACCCTAGGATCCATCTGAACTCTCCAGCTGGGTAGTCAGGTGACCTCAGGGGCACCACAATGGCTACCACTGCCGCAGAGACAGAGGTCTGGCCCTGTCCCGCCACACGTGATCTCTCCTCTGAGGCAAGGTGCACCTGTTTTCCAGGTGCAAGTACTGTGACCGGTCGTTCAGCATCTCCTCCAACCTCCAGCGGCACGTGAGGAACATCCACAACAAAGAGAAGCCGTTCAAATGCCACCTGTGCAACCGCTGCTTTGGGCAGCAGACCAACCTGGACCGGCATCTGAAAAAACACGAGCATGAAGGTGCACCAGGTTGGTGGAGGATGGGCAAAACGCGAGTGCAGGCAGGGAAGGGGGTGTGGGCAACTCCACCCCTCAGACTCTCACCCCACGTGCACACTGGCATGGGAGGCTGGAGGTACCCAGAATGCCCCTGACACTCATCCCTTCCACAGTGAGCCAGCACTCTGGGGTTCTCACCAACCACCTGGGCACCAGCGCCTCCTCCCCCACCTCCGAGTCGGACAACCATGCACTTTTAGATGAGAAGGAGGATTCCTACTTCTCCGAGATCCGAAACTTCATCGCCAACAGTGAGATGAACCAGGCCTCTACTCGGATGGACAAACGGTAAGAAAAGCAAGCCAGCGGGGTCTAGACTCACCTGCTCCGATGGTCTTGCTTAGGGTGCATGCATCCCTAACCCCTGGAAGGTGCTAGGCCTCATGTGGAGGAGGCCTCAGGTTTATTGCTAGAAACAAGAAAAGCCCCCCCCCCCCAGTCCCTGTGTGTGTTCCTGCCACAGCATCTCACTAAGAGAGGATGAGGGTAGAGAACACCCTGTGAGATCATGGACGTTTACTCTCAGTGAGACGCCGGCACACAGGCCAAGTGGCAACCCCATCGTGTGTTTCATCCAGGCACTTGTTGCCAGACAGAAATGCTTCCCCCCTGAAAACACACATATGGAGAGAGAGAGAGAGAGAGAGAGAGAGAGAGAGAGAGAGAGAGAGAGAGAGCTCTCAACTTGCAGTGAGGCTGTGTGATAGCCCCATAAAGTAAAAAGATTGTCATTCAGTGATGCATTCAACAGGCCTAAGCCACCAAACACAGCTCAACAAGCCCGCACCCCGCACCCTGCTCCATGACACTCACAAAACACACTGTAGGCTGCTACACAGACCACCTAGCATGGAGCCTAGTCTGTAATAAAGACACGAACAACTCATGTGTCTGACCAAAAACCTACCCGTGCCTAAAAACACTGATGGCACAGTGTGCCATGGAGTGCTGGCTGCTTCCCTCTCTCCTCAGGCTGCCTGGGAGCCCTGCCAAGTGTCTCCTAGGCATACTGTACCTGTGCACAGCATAGCATGGGGAAGGTGGGTCCTTCATGTCATCTTCACACTACTGTAAAATTAGAAACCTTTGTAAGTCAGAGATGATTCGTATACACACACATACACACGCAGACATATTTACCACATGTGGATGTACACACACACATGGACACGGACGTGTGCAAATAGGAGCACATGTGTGTATGTGTGTGTGTGTGCATCCACATATGGTAAATGTGTCTGCGTGTGTATGGATATGGATATATGCACTCAGGTATAAACTTGCACATAAACACACAGAAATTCAGGATTCAGCCAGGCTCTGGAGTTGTTCTTTGAAACCTCAGCATTCAGGCTGCAGTGATTCAGCCAGGCTCTGGAGTTGTTCTTTGAAACCTCAACATTCAGGCTGCAGTGTGTCCTTTACTCGGGAACTCTCCCTTCTGAATGAACACCTCTGTACCCCAGGAAAACAAACTGATCAGAGAAGTCACTGAGAAACAGAAGTTATGTACACCCCAAAAAAACCTCGGCATGGGATCTCCAGTTCTGAAGAGGAGAACCAGAGTCCTGTGGAAATGGGGTACCAGAGGCCCGTGGAAGTGGGGTACCAGAGTCCCGTGGAAGTGGGGTACCAGAGTCCCGTGGAAGTGGGGTACCAAAGGCTCATGGAAGTAGGGTACCTTGCTGTAGCAACATATTCTTGACTGGCCCCCAACAAAAGTGACTAGAAGTCAGGGACATTTGGCACCTTGAAGCCTGTCAAGACTCTTCTGCCTGTTCTGGAGGGCAGGTCAAAGGCAGTGTTTCTTGGGTGGAAAGACATTGGTGACCTGTGTGGAGTCTGCAGAGCAGCTCAGTCACCTATACAACCTAGGCCTGGACACCGCTTTGCAAGTAGACCCCGCTAAGATGCCGTCTTCATCGAAAATAACTGAACACCCCTCTCCCCCAAGACCACGAGAACTGCCTCGGTCAGCCCCCCCCCCCCCCAGAACTGTGTGGGAATTGGGAGAGGAAGAACTGGGAGCTCTCAGTATGGAACCCAAGACTTGTTTGTCTTTTGCTGTGTCCCTGCCCACATGGCCACATTCCCTGGGCACAGAGTACGGTCATTGGTGTGAGCATGAGCCAGACTGGTGATGCTCTTTGAAGGAGATGGATCTGCTCACCCTCGCTTATGAGGAACCGGAGCTCCAAAGTCTTGCCTGGGACCTGGATAGAGGGCTCACCAAGAGCACTGGAGTTTACTTCCTAGCACCAACACCAGCACCCACACCAAGCAGCTCACAATCACCTGTAACTCCAGTTCCTCTTTTGTCATCCTCGGCCACCTACACGCACGTGCACACATCTACACACAGACATGCAGAAAGATGGAATCTTTCTAAAAAAAAAAAAAAAAATTCTTGCCCAAAGGATTAAGGAGATGGCTCAGGTGGTGTGTCAGCAGGAGGGTCTTGGGTTCAAGCCTCAAAAAAGAAAAAGAGTTGGGCAGTGATGGCACACTCCTTTAATCCCAGCACTTGGTAGGCAGAGGCAGGCAGATCTCTGTGAGTTTGAGGCCAGGCTGCCACCCAGTCTATCCAAATAGGTGAGCCCAGGCCAGTAAGAGACTCTCATGGTAGATAGTGGTTGACCTATGGCCTCCATGTATACACATGTGATTGTACTCATGCATACAATGTGTGTGTGTGTGTGTGTGAGAGTGAGTGTGTGTGTGTGTGTGTGTGTGAGTGATCTGCCTAGGCTGCAGAGACCCTGGGGGCCTGTGAGTTAGAGCCTAGACTGTAAGCCAGCCCATCCTGACAGTTATGTTCTGTTAGCAGCAGCAACCTGAACCTCACCCTCGCCCCCCAGGTTCTGCGACCTTAGATCCTCATGCCTGGCTTGGAGTTGCATGCACAGTTGGGTATCACAGAATCCTGGGCAGGATGACATCTAGAAACTTCTACACCAATGTCCTAAGGGTGCCCTTTGTGTAGCACCCAACCCCAGCACCAGTACAGGACCCTCCTCTCCAGGCGGAGTCTTAGCTTCCTTCCTAATACCCACATTTTTCATTGGCCCCCAAATGACCTGGTATCCACCCCTCGGGGACCTGCCCTGTCCCTTTTTTCTCCCCCAGGGTGCCTCCATCTCTTCTGGATTTTCCTAACCCCTCCATCACTCTTGCTCCTTGGTGAGGAAGTGGGCAACCGCCTTTAGACCCGTTACTCCTTCTTTTAGTGACCACAGATGCCAGCTCTTTCTGAAGAACTGGGAAGGTCAAGGGAAGCCACCTTTCACGGTCTACAGTAAGGAAAAAGCCCCTGGACACAGCCAACTTAGTCCCCTGTCATTTCAGGCCTGAGATTCAAGACCTGGACAGCAACCCCCCATGTCCAGGCTCAGCCAGTGCAAAGCCGGAGGACGTAGAGGAGGAGGAAGAGGAGGAGCTGGAGGAAGAGGATGATGACAGCTTAGCCGGGAAGTCACAGGAGGACACAGTGTCCCCCACACCTGAGCCCCAAGGAGTCTATGAGGACGAGGAGGATGAGGAACCACCCAACTCCCTAACCATGGGCTTTGACCATACCCGAAGGTGGGAGAGGCCAAGTGCCAGGGAATAGGCTGGGTGGGAGGACCTGGATACTAGGCCACCGTTCAGGAGACACCTCCTCCATCCTGGTTTACCTCTGTCTAGCAGGTGCTGCTACCACAAGGCTTTGGAGCTAGGGCTGAGGTGATGCTAGCCAGAGTCCAGGGCACTGGGTCTCCGCTCCCTCTTGGGCTTCCAGAAGCTTGGTGCGGGGGAAAGGAAGGGGAGAGTATGCTCTGCTGGCCCTGAGTCAGGAGTCCTCAGCTCTGCTGTGCAGTTGTCCATTATCCCATCCACCTGGGGCAGCAGGGTCCAGCCTTTGCTAGGCTGTGGCCCAGCACCCATGGTTTTAGAAATTGTGCAGGCCACAGCCACGTCCCCATGTCCTAACTGTCCAGTTACTTCAGCAATGGGTGACGCTGCCAGCATTTGAGATGCCCTGGGCTGGCCCTCTGGAGCCAGCATTTCTTCCCCAGTCCCTTGGTCCTGGGGGTGGGTAGGGCAGCCAGGACCCCTCCAAAGCTGCCCAGAGCCTCGGAACAGTAAAGCTTTCTTCCTACCTTTATCCTGAAGACCAGATTGCCTGCTGCCTGTGATGTGTGTGCACTCACTCACCCTTCCTGCTCTCTGTCATCTGCTCTCCCACGTCTGTGTGGCTTCCCATCTGGGTGTCTGTGTGTCGACGTGTCTGTCTCCTTGTGCATGTGGCTCGCGGAAACCTGTGCCATGCATGCAGGCATGGGGACCAGCCATGAGGCACTAGAGAGAGGCCACCAGTGGCCAAAGAGCTGACCCCAGGCCCCTCTCCCCGGTCCTTGGTGCAGGTGTGTTGAGGAGCGAGGAGGCGGTGTGTTAGCTTTGGAGCCGACGCCGACCTTTGGGAAGGGGCTGGATCTCCGCAGAGCAGCTGAGGAAGCATTTGAAGTTAAGGATGTGCTTAATTCCACCTTAGATTCTGAGGCTTTAAAACAAACCCTGTACAGGCAGGCTAAGAACCAGGTAGGTACCCAGCAGAGCCCTCGTCCGTCCTCCCACCTCCTCTTGGCTTAGTAAGCGGCCACCACGCCTCCTTAATCAAGGATGCCTGAGATCTTCTGGCTCTGGCTATCCCAGGCCTAGAAGACAATCAGATCCAGAGCCCCATGCCCACTGCATTGTCTAAAGAGAGCACAATAGCTGTAAGCCCCCAGACCCTGGTAGAGCAGGTGGGCTGGGGGGTGGTCAAAGACAGATAACCATGAGCTAGCTCTTGGGTCATGAGTGAGGGCCGCTTTCCCAATCTCCCCATCCCACCTCCAGTGGGAACAGCTGCCTGGCTCTCCTCCCCTCTGAACCAGGATGAGTGGCTATCACCCATCAGGTGATCACTGCTTCCAAGATGGAGTTAAAACAGAGTACCTGAGGGTACAGGCTTATCCAGGGCACTTCCTGTGTTCACATCTCAGGGACAGTGGTCATGGGACCCTGCACCCCACTATTTGGACATCAAAAGGGGCTTGGCTCTCATTCTACTCTCTGCAGCCTCCCCAGCACCACCTCAAGATTTTCACCCCAATTCGTCTGTGTGTCTGTCTTCGTCTCTTAACTAATTCTGTCTAGCATTTGCTCAAGGATAGAGGGGACCCATGTTGGGCTTCACTAGTACACACCTGTAACTCATAATCTACACCCCACACACCCCTCAGCCCTGGCACCTCCTGCCCGGTCCCATGACGTGAGGCAGAAGGATACCTCCATGATTGTCTGAGACCAGCAAACACAGCCCATTACCTTATAATTGCATCAGCTCTGAGACACTACCATACTTCAGAAAGGAGCCCACCACAATCATTCAGAGTCCCCCAGGGCTCTTGCCAGCTAAGCAAAGACAGTCTCACTGGCACGGAATGAAAAATAACTCCTGCCGAGCCCCAGGATGCTCCCAGAGCAGACACTGATCTTAGGTTTTTGCCAGTCACTAGGCAGAGAAATGGGCTTGGAGGGAGGTGGAGATGCAATCTTAGGGGAGCGCCCCAAGAGTTCAAGAAATCCTAGGGGACACGGAGGCCCATAGAGGGGCTCCTGTGTCCTGGTGTCACCCTGGGCAGGAGAGGTGCCCCCTGCTTTCATAATACTCCTGTCTCTCCCTCCCAAACTGGAGAGTGGGCCTCTCTAGTGCCTTTGTTTTCCTTTTTCCTTCTAGACTGGGTGGGAGCAGGGGTGAAGGCGGGGGTCAGACAGGCAAGGCTCAGGTCTACCTGTCTGGAATGCCCCTCACCTGTTCTCTGTGTGCTATCCTTTCCCCACCAGGCATATGCAATGATGCTGTCCCTCTCTGAGGACACTCCTCTCCACGTCCCCTCCCAGAGCTCACTGGATGCTTGGTTAAACATCACGGGAGCCTCGTCAGAGTCTGGAGCCTTTAACCCCATCAACCACCTCTGAGGTCCTGGAGGCCCCAGGGCCAGAGTCCAAAGCCAGGGTCCCAGCTGTGGGAGATGGAGAAGGGGCCGGGGGAAGCGCCTTGACACCTTCAATTTGCCTCACCTCCGCTTCCAGCCCCACCCACTGTGGCTCAAGTCCAGCTTCTCCAATGAAACTCAGAACCTGAAGGTCCCTCAAGAATCCGTTGACCTTCACCACCTCTCAGAACTGGCCTCAAGGACACGGTCTGCAGTGGTGCAGTGCTCGGTGGCCGCCCAGGAGCTGCTCACGGGAAGCTGTCTATCGGATAACTAGGGGGCAGGGGTGGAATCTCTATCCCAATAGGAGCCAATTGGCCGCATCTGGGCAGCCACATGGTATGAAGGAGGGGAACGGAAACAAGTGGGTATGTGCTACGGAGAGACCTCGCAAATGATTTTTATAATGAAAATTACATGAATAACCCTTTTGGTAATCTTATTGACTATAGAGTCTATTTAAGCATGTGGGTTTTAAAAAAATAGACAGTATTTTTTAAAAAATCAAAAATGACTTGCAAAATGTTTTTTAAAAGTAATTTTGCATTGCTTTGAAATTTCAGCTTATTGGCAAACCCACACCTGCCAGGACATCGAGCACTGCTCGGGTGTGCCCTTTATAATGTAGATAATGGAGAATTTTCTATACCCGACCCTGTTTGTACAAGCCAAGGTGATTCTGGGTGTCCCCAACGCAGGATAAAGGGCATGGAGGCATCTGAATAGCATGCTGACTACACAGGAATTCCTGGTCATGGTGCCTGCCTGCAGGCTTGTGGAGGCCAAGTCAGGGAGGTTGTCTTGCCCCATGCGGCCTGCAGAGGAATCCACTGGTCCCCACCCAAGACCCCCCAATTGTATGGGGAGGTCGGGAGCTGGTGGCTGAGGTCTTCCATGCTGGACACCTAATGGTTTCTCCCCTCCAGCAGCCCCAGCGCTGGCCCTGACTGCCGCTCTTCTGAAGCCGGGGCTCTGGGCCATATCTAGGCCTTCAGCCTTCTACTCTTCCCAACCCTGGCGGTCTGATGTCCTCCCTGTGGCCACTGAGCGTGGGGAACCTACCCGCCTGCTCCACCACGCCAGGACGCCTAGCACTACCTGTGCCTAAGACTCCAGATCAACCGCATAGCAGCCACTTCTGCTCTTTGTGTGGGTTCCTGGTGAGAGGTGGTCAGGAACAAGAGGAGGATCCAGGGGACCTGCCACGCACAGAGCAGAGACAGCACAGCCCCTGGGACCAGATGCCTCGCTCCCTTGGGACAGTCATGATTGTCTAATTCTCTGCTTGAATGGGCTTTAAGTTATTCCCATAGGGGCCAACTTCAAATAATTTCTTTCTCTGATGGAATTTACCTTAATCTGTATATAACTTGTAATTTTTTTTTCTAATTCATTTCTTTCCTTATTTTATTTCTTCCTTAACAGTATTTTTGGCATTGGACAACTTATTCTGAAGAATCATGTCAATCTAAGTATGTAGTGAAGGACCAAAACCGTGTGATAAGGTTGCGTGCTGTGTGATCGGTAACCAGGGAGTGGGGCAGTTGTTAATGTGCCAAATACCCTGTGTCCCTCCCTTGAGGTCACTGCTGCCCATTTACCAGACAATCATATAATTTTGTTAAATTTGAGTTTTTAAAACAAGTGTTCTATTTATTTTATTATTTTGAAGAAAGAACAAAAAAAATTGAGTATCCCAACAAGAAAAGAAGGGGGAAAACCCTTCCTGAATTGCCCTTTTAAAAAAAGAGAGAGAGGTAGTGTCAGTGTCAACAGCCGTGTGCAAGCGTGTCACACACAGGCGTGCCAGTGTCAGCAGCCGTGTGCAAGCGTGTCACACACAGGCGTGCCAGTGTCAGCAGCCGTGTGCAAGCGTGTCACACAAGCCTGTCACACACGGGCCATGCCAGTGGTTCTCTCTGAGAGCAGCATGAACATCAAGCAGGTGTGTTCCGTGAATGTGGTGGCTGTTCTGGGGCCAAGACAATCATCTCTGCTGATGCTGAGTGGTCCAGGCTGTGCTGGAGACTCGAGGGGGACATCCCTGGAGACACCACGACCCTGCAGGTTCCAGCGAATCCCAGTGACGTAAGACAGAACAGTCCAGCATGCACGCCCAGAAGCACATTCACATGTGCAGAGCAGAGCAGCAGGGACCCTCTTCTGAGGAACGTGCCATGATCAGGCTGTAGGGATTTGTGGGCCCAGCCGCTCACACTTCTCACAGGTTCACGACATCCTCTCAGTGAAGGTCTAGGCCTCGGCTTAGGAGTTCCCGTTTCCTCCACATGGAAGCTAGACGGGACCCCTGAATAAGTTCAACCTCAGACATACGTGTCCCACTTTTGTAAACCCCGAATTATATGCTTTCTTCTGAGAAAGAGTAAGACGTGTGCTTTTTCTTTTTTCCGCGATGTGACTTTTTATCTCCAAAGTGGGGCGTCTGTCTGGATAGAGACGTCTGTGACCCTTTTTTTCCAGCAGCAGAGCAGCTAAAGGCTCTCCTTTTCGTCCTTTTTGGCGCTCCCGACCCCTGTCCTCCTCTTGTAACCACTCTTTCCTTCTCGAGAGTCCCAGTTGTGCTGCCGTGTGCTTTGCCTGCCCGTCCCTGCCCCCAAGAGCATCCATGGCAAAGCCCAGATTCTCCTGAGCAGTCAACTCTTGGGCCCAGCACTTGCCCCCCTGACAAAGACAGCACTGACCCTAGATTTATCTGTCTCCACACTGCATGGCCCCCAGACAGTGAGCTCTGCCTACCTGACATCTTTGCACTCTTGTGGTGCCCAGCTGACTCAAGCCAAGTGTCAGGCACAGAAGATTCTCTCAGGGTCATGGAGCTGGACCAGATGTGAGTTCCAGGATCCTGACTACCGGGGACCCAAACCATGCCTGTTGCCGTGCGCATGGAATGGCCAGACAAGTGTCCAGCCAGGATTGTTTCCCTGATGTCCTTCCAATTGTTGGTACTTGCCTGCCAAAATAGATATTCAAGAGGAGGCCTCCTAGTCTGTATTCCCTCCAGCCCCGGACAAGGTCCCATTCTTCCCCTGTGACAGCCGCCTTTCCTAGGAAGAGCAGGCAGGAAAGATGGGGCTTCACCATCCTGCAGGCAAGGTGGATCCTGAATGCAGGAGACAACCCAGGGCATCCCTGTGCCAAACCAGCAGTGGGTAAGCACGACATGGCTGAGCCTGCCCAGCCTGAGAGGAGCCCCACTTTCTAAGACCAGGAGAGCAGGTGATCCCCAGACCCTGACTGACCTAACCCCTCTGCCTCTCAGAGCTCAGACCCACAGGGCCGTTGGCTTCCTCCACCTCCTCTGCTTCCCCAGTGAGTGTGTATGAAGCCCTGGCTCAAATACATACCACGTGTTTTAGACTCGAAGCGCAAGCACTGGATCATGGTCCCTATCCCGCCCCGTCTCCCTGCCCAAGTGACTGAAACCTACTGAACTTTCACTGTGCTGTTCCAGGTAGGGAAGAGGAGGCCCCTGTGCTGCTGCTGGGACAGGAGGGTGGGGAGCCTGTGATGGACGGCACCCCCTCTCGCCAGTGGACGCTGGGACACTCCTGTCCACAGAGACCAGCCGGGTATCCAAAGCCATGAAAATTGTCTCTGTAGCCCTTGAGCGATAACTGTGACAAGACGTTCTCGTGTGATTCCCAGAGAAGTTCCTCTCTCGCCATTCCCGTCACGTGTTTGTTTAATCCCTCTCTGTCACCAGTTCAAACCACCACTCCCAGGAGGGAAAAGGTTGAGTCCAGAAAGGCAGCTCGAATTTCTAGTTGTGTGATTCACTTGCAAAGCGGAGGAAGCTGGGGGTTTTCTTCCCTGCCTCCTGTAGCACCCGCTACTCTCTCCAACATGGGGGACGTGGGGCCCTGGTGTCAGAATACTTAACTTAAAGCCTGTGCGTGCGAGTGTGTGTGCATATGTGGTGTGTGTGTGTGTATACGTGCGTGTGGGTGGTTTGTATGGATTTTGAACCAATAGTATATAAATATAAATATATATATATCCCTGACACCTGTGAGAATCTCGAGACTGTACGAGTGTTGCCATTGTCACATTCAGATCTGACTCAATTTGTTTCTGTTTCTGTTTTGTTTTGTTTTTCCTTTTAGAACTATATAGTGTTGAGAAAGAAATCAAATGTAAATGTCTGGTTTTCATATAATGTTAAAGAATTAAAAACCATGGAGGAGGAGGCTGGGGCCTGTCCTCGTCGCCTTCCTTTGTAAATTGCTGTTGTGTTGATAAGCTGTGCATGGCTCGTGTTTAGCGGTCATTATTGTGTCTGTTTGTGAGATTTTTATTACGAGGAAAATCCCGTAGATGCACTTACTGAATATGTGGTTAGGGTCTGAGTCAAGGCCAGGAGGCCCAAAACGCCCATGAAAAACGGACCGCCGTTCCTGATGACTATGGAGATCGCCGTGGGAGAATCATGCGTTAAGGAGACGCGACGTAGAGAATAGTCGAAAGTGATTTTTGCAGATCTCATTCTGAGGCTTGTGGCAAAGATAAATGTACTTGTGTAGAGATTTCTGTAAGGTAAAAGCCAGGAGAGGCTGGCTTTAAGGTCAATGCTGTAGAATAGGATGACTGGATACCAAATGTAATCTTTCCAATGCTACAATGAATTTATACATGAGATTGATATGCAATAAATCTGTGTGTTTTTCTAAGTCTCGTTGAAAGCTTCATTAAGAGAAAACCTGGTCTCTGGAGTGGGATAGGAGGAGTGCCCTCCCCCAAGTCTAGACTGACTGGGTCTGGGTTCTAGACCAAAATATTACCCCAATCCGCCGCTGGACACAAGGCAGCTCTCTCGACTCCTTTCAACAGCTTAGAAGTACTTGTAGATGATCAGGCCACAAGACACCAAGCACATCCTGACTCCAACAGCCTCCTTGCTCTGGGAGAGGGTCTTCAATGCAGCGGTTGGTGGCTGGATGGTAAATGATGGTGGCTGGTGAGAATGAATAAATCCGTGGATGGAGGAGTGAATAAATGATCCTGGATAGAGGAGTGGACAGACGGTGGATGGAGGAATTCATGGAAGGTAGGTGGGTAGGTGAATAGATGTTGGATGCAGGAATTGAATGGGCAGGTGGGTGGAGAAGTGGGTGAATGATGGATGGAGGAGCGGAATGAGCGGGTGGATGGATAGGTGGATGAAGGGTGGGCGGAGGATTTGCTCTTTGAACCATCACTGATCCTGGGACTTCTGGACCTCCAAAAGCTCTCCCAGGGCCAGGACAAGCTCCAATGAACGTCATCAGAAGTAAGATTCTGAGGCTCCCTAATCCACAATTCCTGTAGCTGCCAGAAGAGAAGAAATGGAAGTTGATCTTGGCATGAGATCTCAGGCCCAGATCTGGGGTGCCGAACCCTTGTATTTTCTTAATGCCATCAGGTCGAGCGTGAGGGTGGGGGCATGCAGCGCTAAATGTTTCAGGTTGTTTTCCTTCCCACTGTGATTGACGAAGTGCCAGTGAGATCTTAAGCCTGGACGGTCAGCTTTGGGGCTTGCCCAGGAGTCTGAGGCCCAGGGTGACTTGAAAGGTTCTGCTTTGGGAAATATATTTCCATCCTCTGCCCTCACTGAAGGCCACATTCCCAAAAGTGGTTCTCCCAAATGACATGACAGTGACCCATAGAGCCCCCATAATGGTGCTTCCCAGAGCTCACCACACTGGGGCTCCAGTGGAATGAAAACTGTCCCGTTTTGTCCAACCTGGCAGCCTTGCTCCTCATTAGCCCGGGAGAGAGAGGAAAACTCGGTGGAATCGGAGAGGGGCCGATAATGGCTGTATTGTTGAGAGAACCCCAGAGGGAAAGGGAACAGCGGCTGACAGGAGATTGCTGACAAGTGGACTTTGTCTTCTAGCAGCCCGGTCCCCACATAAAAGACTGAGGAAAAAGGCCCCATTTTGGAAATGGGGGGATGGGTGTATTAAGAGAAGGAAAAAAAAGTGTCAAAGAAGAATCTGTTTTCTGGGAAGAGAGGGGCTTTTCATTGCCATTCAGCTTTCCTCTGGGCTAAGGAGCTGCTGGCCATTTGCAGGGAAACTATTTTAGGGAGCCCTCAACCTTATTCCTCATGCAGAAAAAGTCTTCTGCAGCACAAGCTGTGTCATGCGGTACAACAGCCATGACCGGGGCTGTGTGTTTTCTGCAGTCAAGAAATGTCTGCTGTGTGGGTTGCCCAAGGGACTCTGGGACATGAGGGGTCTCCAGCCATGAGCCGAGACTGCAGCCCTGCTGGAGAAAAGCACATGTCTCCCTGCCAGGGTAGACAAGGCCATTCCACAACTCCATCCACTCCAAAGGCAACGTGTGGAGGAGAAAGTGTGGTGGGGTCTAGAACCAGATTCCACAAGATGGAGCCCCCATGGCCTATCAGAGGGAGTAGACACTAGGGGGATTTTTTTTTTTTTTTTTTTGCTCCTGAATTCCTAACCCCATCAGGAACACAGGAGGTAATAGAAAAGCGGAGAGGTGGCTGAGTGGGATCAAGGATCAGGCTTAACAATGTGGTGCAATGCGAATCTATCAGTTAAAGCCCTGCAGGGCAGTGTGCAGGGTGTGCACTGCCCCAAGCTCTGAAGCACAGTGTGCCAGGTGTAGACCACCAAAAGCTCTGCAGTGCAGTGTGCCGGGTAGGCATGAAACTAAGCTCTGCAGCACAGTGTGCAGGGTGTGCACGACCCCAAGCTCTGCAGCACAGTGTGCAGGGTGTGCACGACCCCCAAGCTCCGCAGTGCTATGAACAAACTTAGTCCCTTTGCAAGAGCAACAAGTGCTTTTAACCACTGAGCCATCTCTCCAGCCCCTATACATAATATTTTTAGAGCCATTTTAGGCTTATAAGGAACTTCTCAGAAATAACAGATGTTTAGTTCATACCCACAGTTCCCCAGGATGGATATAGGCCCTACTATTGTGTGATATTTTGTGTTCTGACAAATAAATCTTGCCTGGAGATGAGAGAGCAGAGCTAGACACTAGTTAACCATAGAAGCTGGGTGGTGGCAGTGCATGTCTTTATTCCCAGCACTCAGGAGGCAGAGGCAGAGGCAGGCAGATCTGTGTGAGTTCAAGGCCAGCCTGGTCTACAAAGCGAGTTCCGGGATAGCCAAGGCTACACAGAGAAACCCTGTCTTGAAAAACAAAACAAAACAAAAGATTCCTCTGTGTTTTCTTGTAGCATTGCAGTTCCTATATTTTGAGCACTGAATGATATCCCAAACTGGAATATGCCACTGTTTACTCAGTCACCCAGCTGTTGAAGGATATCTTGGCTGCTTCCCACTTGAGCAATTACAAATAAGGATACTACAAACATCTGAGAATGGGGTTTTGTATGGGTCGAAGTTTCCAGCTCCTTTGGGCAAATAACGAGGATCATGACTACTAGATCACACAGTGAGTGCATGTTTCCCATTATGGCTGCATAGCTTGGCTTTTATCTGCAGTGCAAGAGGCCCTATAGCCCCACACCCTTGCCAACATTTAGTTTTGTCGGTGCTCCAACTTTGGCCATTGGACAGTGTACAAAGCTATCTCCCTGTTGATTTGACTTGTATTTTCCTCTTCACGAGTCTTTCCCATATGCATTCACCATGTGTGTGTGCTCTGAAAAGTCTGTGTAAGCAAAGGCTGCACTTTCCTTTCCCCGCCACCCAGATCCGAATAATCACACAGAAATATATTAATTAAAACTCTGTTTGGCCAATGGCTTAAGCTTATTCCTAGCTAGCTCTTACATCTTAAATTAACCCATTTCTTTTAATCAGTGTATCACCACATGGCTGTGGCCTATGGATAAGGTTCAGCAGCTACATGACATCTCCTTGACTCTGCCTACTCTTTCTCTAGATCTCTGTTCAGATTTCCCGCCTGGCTTTACTCTGCTAAGCCATTGACAAAAAGAGCTTTATTAATTAACCAATAAAAGCAACACATATACAGAAGGGCATCTCACATCAGTCTTGTTTGTGGCTTGGACCATATTTCAACTGGCCAAGTCCCTTTCTTGTAGAATGACATTTCTTTTGTATGTTATGGGGGTTCTAAATGAGATTGTCCCCCACAGACTTAGATGTGTGAATGCTTCGTCCCCAGTAGGTGGTGCTGTCTGGGAGGTTTAGAAGGTGTGAATGTTAGAAGTGTGTCTCTGAGGCAGGCTTTGAGGCTTCAAAGCCATGTGCCTTTCTCAGCCTGTCCTCTCTGCTTCTCGTTTGGGGGTCAGGATGGGAGCTCCTGGCTGTTTCCACCATGATCTCCTGCCATGATGGACTCCGTCCCTCTGAAGCAACAAGCCCATATAAACCCTTTCTTCTCTAAGTCGTCTTGGTCATTGTGTTTTATCCCAGCAACAGAAAAAGTAACTAATACATAAATCATCTGGTCATTGTCCTTTTGTATATTTAGACGCTGAAGAAAACAGGGACATCCACACAAAAGGACACTGCTCAGTGGCCAGGGGACAAGGCCGGTTGTGAGTCACCACAATGTGACTGAGTCTCACCCAAGGAGGGGTGAGGGGGACATAGCTTTATTGTTAGTTTTATCTGAAGTCCTGGCTGGAGTAGTCTGTGAGGCGGGACCGTCTCAGCTGACCACCTTGAAATTGTCCCGAGCGGTTTTGCAGTCCAAAGCTGATATCTGGGTGGTGTCTGTCAGCTTAGCGGTGTTATCACAATCCAGGTGGAATCATTATTGTGGGGTCCCATCCACTTTTTGGAGACTTCAAATGTCATTGTTAAGAATGGTCACCATTCACTACAGAAAACTCAAATATTTTAAATGTTATATGCAGCAGATCTCGGAGAAGTTAAAGGCCTACAATCCATCAGAAACACCTGTGGGACACAAACTTAATTCCTAGTTACCTTATTCAGACTCAAGCTTGAAGTCATGTACAGGAAGGCAACCTAGATAAAACCTAGAATTAGTTAGCACTCTATATGACCACTAATATGTTGGCAGAAAGTGCATATATATGCATATACATAATTTTAGATCATATTTATACCATAAGTTTTAAAGAGTCAAAATAAATCCAAAGGATTATGAGATTAGTGCAATAAGATAGTACTTTAATTTTGGTTCTTCTTCTGTACCATACCAGGCGGCTCTTCTGACACGAGACAGAGATTGTAGACTTTCTTGGCTTTCACAGGTGTTGAGGGCCGTGCTGACAGGCTCCTGATTGCCTGTAGTTCCACCTGGCCCTCAAAGGCCTCTTTACTCTTAGTGTGAGGTGGAGCAACCATCCCCACCAGGGTAGCTTTGCTTTGCCCAGGAAGGGGCTGCTTTGATTGCGTTGCTGCTGGTCAGCATGTTCCCTTCCCTTCAGGCAGTTAGAGTCAGGTGTCCCCCCATCTATGAGGATTCAGGGTAAGGCCTGGCCCACAGGCCTTGCTGTTGGGTGCCCAGCAAGGATGGTGGCTACCGATGGGCACTGACCAAAAGCTGTGAAGAATGGAAGGCCAGGATCCACATCTTCTCCCCAACCAGGAATCTTGGGGGCAAAGAGGCCCTCGAGACAGGCCGTAAAAGTGGTCCAGCCACATCTCACCATCTATACACAAGTTCTGGGCAGGCTTTGACCCAGCACCCCTCCTGGGAGTGAAGGTAGGTAAAGATAGCCGAGTCTTCCACCAGCTACTTGTCTTAGAGCTGGATGAGAGGACAAAGGTAAGGGACTAGGAGTTAGGCGGAGCCGTGACAGACAGACAGGGATGGACATCAGAGACACATAATTTCTGGCTTCTTCCTTGCCCTCCTGACCCGAGACAAAGGCCTGGCGGCTTGACACAAAGGCCCAATGGGCTTTTCCTAAACTAAAGAAGGTGATCCCATTCTAGCCTAACAAATACCCTTAGCAACCTGTCGTCCTCCAAGGAAGAGGCTGGACTTCAGCGTCTGAGTCCCCCACCTGCTTTGCGGGGAGTGGGGGTGTGTCTTTCTCTGTGCGTGCCTTGCTGTGTGCCGCACACCTGTAACCCCAGCACTTGGGAGGCAGAAGCAGGCAGATCTTTATGAGTCTGAGTCAGCCTGGTCTGCATGATTCCGGGCCAGCCTGGGCTACACAGGGAGACCCTGTCACTGTTGTTTTGATTCCCTGTCTTTTAATTCTTTAAGTGCCGGGTACTAAGAGGGTATGATGAGACAGCCCTGGGCAGAGGCTGACACAGAAGACCTTACTAGGAAGCTGGAGTGTGAGGCCTCCCTGTCTGGCCTTGGCCTTTCCTTGGGGAACCAGTCTCCCACCTGGCCACAATTTTTCCAACAAAGCAACTTTCATGGAGGTTGGGCTTGGTGAGTGCAATGCCCAATAATGGCCTCAGGGGGTCAGCAACAACCCGTTTTTCCCAGGAACCGCCTCCCAGCACATCAGCTGGTTACCCAGGGAGTTTCAGGACCCGGGGGGCCTTAGTCCACAGGAGGCTCTGAGCACCTCTTCTCCTTCTACTGTGACTGCCGCTCATCGGGCCTGGCCCCGTGACTAACTTGGGCCCTACCCAGATGATATCACACCGGAAAGAGCAGAGGATGGCACAACCAAACCACCTAGCTTCAGGGCTGAGGTGGGAGGCTAAGGAAGGCGTAGGAGGATGGCCGGCCAGGCACACCCCCTCACAGGGCAATAGCCAAGTAAGTGCCAAGCGAGGCTCCAGCATCATCCCCCTAAGTGGTGCTCAGTGAGGCAAGCTCTTAGGGTACACTGCTTGGGTCACGGCATGTGGGGAGAACCATGTTGGGGGACTAGGGTGTGAGGGCACAGATATTTCCTGAAAAATAGACAATAGGAGGTGGGTCAGGAAGGACTAGCACATGCTGAGGTCTCTGGCTCTGTCCCAGGTCACCAGACATTCACTGTGTCTCGTCACACATAGCACAATGAGCCAGGCAGAGAAAGTGCCACAGTACAGTACAGGTGGAGACTTAATACAAAGTCTCCACAGAGAAGAGCCCATCGCTGTCCCCTCCCAAGTGTGGTTTGGGGTCTGCTCTGATGACCATGTTTTGAGGTGTCTTGGGGGTGTCGCGTCATAAATTCAGGGTTGCACGAAGGAAAACTAAAATGTCGGGTGCAGTGGTGCATGTCTGTACGGTACCCCAGGTTACTCTGGGAACCTGAGGCAGCCCCGGGAAGGTGGGTGTGGACTGACCAGGCAGAGGCTCCTGCTCTCCGATGGAGGTTGGGCACTGCCAGCCTTTGCCCCTGCACCCACACTGCCCTATGCTCTCTGCCCCCACCTCAGGCTGCCCCCTGGCCATGCTCCCTCCCCTTCTTGGCCCTTGCACTCATGGTGACTCTTGCCTGCTTTACTTCTCTTTCCCCTTTTATCTGTTAACTCTGCTCGCCCTTGGGGGCACTTTGGAGCGCACTGGTGCACACCCCATCTTTTCCTACACGGGGAGCCTGGTCCCTAAAGCCCCCATGGGAGGGGCGCTGTGAAAGGCGGGACCTGCGTGGCTGGCAGAATTTCCCGCCCTCGGAGTTGTCTGTAAAGTGGGGTGGTGGTGAACAGACCACCATGAAGGTTGTTCTGTGAGATCCTGGCTAGGGAAGCCTGCTGCAAAGAATGCAGAGGGTGGGGCCTTCCCACAGCAAACAGGTTCCCGCAGGCCCGGGCACTCTCAGAAGGCTTCCTGGAGGAGGTGGAGGAGCCCAGAGAGCGGCGCAGAAAGGAAGTGGGCATAGGAGCGGGAGGGAGAGTAGACGGTACCCAAGGGCGGACTCCGGCCCGAACCACCAGACTGATCACGTGGACACAGGCGGGCCCCGGTAGGTGCGGTGACGCAGCCGGCCTGAGCGGCCAGGTGAGGCGGCCGCGGTGCAACAGGTGCCCCGGGTGCGTCCCGCCCTCCGGCCGCGCAGCCGCCGGCGGAGCCCACCTGGCCCCGGCTCCGCCCGTGCGCCCGCCCGCTCGCCGGCCAGCAGCGCAGGAAGTAGCGAGGGCGGGACCGACCGGCCGCAAGACGCTGGACCCAGCAGCTCTGCAAGCCGTACCCGCCCCGCCGCTCCTCGGCCGCGCGCTCAGGTGAGTCTGGGGACTGAAGAGAGAGCCGTGGGGGGGAAGGCCACCTGCGCAACCCCGGGCGCCTCCGCTCCTTTCCAGCCCCTCCCGACCTCGGCGACTACGCGCCCCGCCCTCTCTCTGGAGCTGCTAGCCCGGGACTGGGAGCCGAGCTGCCCGGAGCCGCGCAGTCCAAGGGACACTTTGCAGCGGCCAGGTTAGACACTAGGGCGCAGAGACTCCTGGGAGGTCCCAGGGGACGTGAAAGTGACTCTTCCGGGAGCTAGAAAGACGGTCTGTTCAGATGAGCTCCAATAATGAGGAGCCTGACCCCCCTCGTGCCCTTTTTCTGCCTTGGTGGCTAGCTGTCTAGCCAGGCTCCCCACTAGCCAGGCTCCCCACTGCTTTTCACTGTGTGTGTGTGTGTGTGTGTGTGTGTGTGTGTGTGTGTGTGCGCGCGCATGCCACTTTCAGGCTGGACGGTGGACACTTGTCCCACCTCCGGCCTTGGTCCTCATATCTGTAAATCAAAATCAGGGATCTGTTTAGAGGTTGGGAGAGAAAGATGGACCTGGGTGTGGGTCTCGGGCAGGGGTCTGAGTTGGTAGCAGCCACGGTGCGCTCTCCACATCACACCTGGAACCCAAGACAGGAGCTGATAGCCGCTAAGTGGATACTTGTGTGTTCCGTCACTGGAGTGTGTGGTCCCGTTCGTGACCATATGTCCGTTTACCCTGCTACCTTGGTTTCCCACCCTGGTGTGTGGTCACCAGGCTGTGAAGTTGCTATGTGTGAGTTCAGGCGAGCTGCCTCAGCCTCCAGGCTGGGCTTATCTCTCGGAATGCCTTGATTCCGTCTGTGATCCTGTTCTGGGGATAAATGCTTCCCTCAGTCTGTGTTCTCAGAACACCCATCGTCCAGAGGGAAGCCCCTCTCAGTACCCCTGGTGGAGGGAGAGGTCTCCGGCCTTCCTTGAAAAAGTAAGGGGTAAGTCACACAGAGAACAAGGCTGAGAGAGCTAGGTAGAGGCTCCTTGCCACTCCCTTCTCCAAAACCAGAAACTACTCTTTTATTTTTAAAGATTTATTTATATATTTAAATGTTTTTGCCTGCGTTTATGTATGCGCACCACAGGTGTGCCTGGCACCCGTGGAAGTCAGAAGAGAGCATCAGATCCTCTGGGATTAGAGTTAGAGACAGCTGTGAGCTGTCTTGTGGATAGTGCTGGGACTTGAACCCTGTCCTTTGGAAGAACGGGCACTGTTGATTTCTGTTGGACCGTCTCTCCAGGCCAATAGAAAGATACTTTTGGGGAGGTTGCCCCGGTGTTCCACCTCCTGCAGGGCAGCCACTCTCCACCCACGTGTAAGGAAGCCCTGTGAGGAGGAAAGGTGCCTCCAGAGGTGAAGTAGCTGGTTGAGATTCCCAGGGCTTGTTCGTGGAGACGGCAGGTCTGCTCCCCGAAGGTGACGGTTGCATTTCTGTCTGGCCACAGGGCCTGGAGGTTTTGGTTTTGGTTTCTAGATCCATCTTGGCATTGCTCACTCCGTGACATAACGTACAGGTGGCGGTCCCTCTGTAGCATCATGAGTCCAGAATCCCCTGTCGTCTGCATCCATTTCCTGGTTTGAGGATAGCCATCTAGGTCAGGATGGGGCCTCAGAGCTTGGCTCCTCCCCTTGTGCTCACAGACTGGGGCTTGACCCAGGCAGGTCATGTTCCCTCTGTCCCTGCTTCTCACTGCCAGAAGGGAAGACACACAAGGGGCAGAAGTTCAGGGAGGGGTCCAAGAAGACTTACCTGGCCAGAGGGTACCTTCTATGGGTGTGTTTTTCAGATGGTGAACTGGGCAGTGGGGGCCTAGCCCCAGGTTCCCCAACCCTTCCTCCCTTACCCCTGTGGTTACCAGCTGCTTGGGTTTGAGGAAGGGGAGTAGGGGGTGATTGGTAACTGTTGTGGCCTGATGGGATGCACCAGGTGGGTGGGTGGGTGAAGGGTGATTCTAGCTAGCTGTAATTGGTTTTCCCCACCTCAACTCTGGGAACATTTGTACCATTTGGTTGCCATGGGCTTCTTTGTGCTCTGTGGATCCGGGAATCCTGTCCACAGCACACAGAACGCCTGGGGGTGTATAACCAGCAATGTCTTCAGATGTTACAGATTGTCTCCAGGTGGGCAAAACTGCTCTCAGCTGAGCTCCTCTGCCCAGCCCCTCCCCCTGACAAATGTAACTTACTGGTTACAAAGCTGAGCCCTGCAGCAAGTTATCTTCCAGTCCAAGTCCCCGGCTCAGCCATGCAGGACCGCCCAAGCACAAGGCCACCGTTGGCCCAGCCTGGGAGCTGGTGATGGACAGCCTCCAGCAGGGCCCGAAGTCCAGACTCAGGGTGGTTTGGGTTCCTGAGACCAGCTGTGACCAGCAGCAACAGGCTCAGACTAGGTAGAAATCAGGCTTAGGGGACTAGAAGATTCGTGGGAAGCTGACCTGCCTGAAAGGGAGAAGGAGCAGAGGACCCGGTACAGAGAGGCCCACCCACCCAGAACCACGCCCACAGTGGTTCCCTGAGATGTCTATCAAGATCTCATTGGTTCTGCATGATATCCTGCCCCTTGGTTCTGCTACCCCTGTGCCCCAGGACTGTTCCCACTGAAGGTCATTTAGTGGCAAAGAGAATATGGACTGTAGGTTCTAAGGCCTCAGTCATGGGGCCGTCTCCAGCCCACCCTGAGCAGAAACAGCTAGGAGTCACCCTCACTAGTGCATCTGGGTCTGCTGAGTGGCTCTGGCCCAGTTTCTGCTCCTTTTCAGCAGAACTCCTGGTCAGGCTGGTTCTCAGAGAGCACCCAGTCCTCTTCAGTGGGGTCCAGGACAGAGAAAGTGCTGGCATCCATTCTGGAACTGAGCTCTGGTGTGTTTGTGGGGCCATGTAGGAAGATGCCGTCCCTGCATCCCAAAGACTTTCAGGCATTAGTGGCCAGGCACCCAGAGAGAGCTCCCGTAGACGGTGTCTTTGGAGTTGCTTCTGTGTTCTCAGTAAGCCTGGGGTGCCTGAAATAGAAGACACATACCTTTGGCCTACATGGAGTCTGGGAGGCCTCACACCGAACTCTCAGGAATGCTATTGGTGGATGGCCATGGCTGGTTATTTCCCTGGAGGCCACTAGATAGAGAGTCCGAGGCCCCTGCGCTGCCAGTGAATCAAGAGCCAGGAGCCAGCCAGCCTGGGAGGAAGCCCTGTCCCGTGGAGACGTGGATTGGGGCAGGGAGTCTACAGTCCCCAGAGACAGAGCCTGTGCTCTTGGGCCCCATGGGCCTCCCCTCCCATCAACAGCTTTTCTTTTGAAAGTTTCATGTGTAAGAACCCAAGGCCCAGGGGAGACAAAGGAAGAAAATGAGGAGCCAGCAGCAGCCAACTAAGAGAAACGTGTAAAAGAAAACACGATTCTTGCCCTCTGAGTTGATGGAAGATGTTGTATTCATGAAACAAGAACAGGGTGCTAGGAATGAAGAGCAAGGAGGGGGCACAAGAGAGCTCCTTGTAGGGGGCATAGAAATGACAGAAGGTGACGGAAATACCAGAAGGCCGAATGGAGTGGAGGCATCTCCGAAAGAAAGACAAAGAGATGAAAAAGGGGGAAAGGTAAGAAATTAAGGGGAGATTTCAGAGGTTCAGGGTTTCTCTGTGTGTCAACCCTAGCTCTGGAGACCAGGCTGTCCTGGAACTCACAGAGATCAACCTGCCTCTGCCTCAGAACACTGGGACTAAGGCGTGTGCCACCACCACCTGACTCAGAGGTTTCAATCTTGATTAGTGAGTGTTCTAGAAAGAATAAATGGTGCAAGAAATTATCTTAAAAGGATAGGCCCAGTGCCTCAGGCCTGCCTGGAATCCCAGCCCCTGGAGGCTCAAGCTAGAAAACAACAAATTCAAAGCCTGCTGGGCTACAGATCAAGTTCAAGGCCAAGATGGCCAATCTAGGAAGACCTTGTCTCAAATAATAATAAATTATAATAAGACAAGGGCTTGGATATAGCTCAGTGGTGTAGCAGTGGCCTGGTTGGGGTCCCAAGGTTGTCTCCCAGCAGGGGTGCAGAGTGGGGAGGAAATAATCCAGGAAATAATATCACATCACGTGCAGACGTAGGCCTGAGAAACAGGAACAAACTGGCTGGAAAGTCTACCTGGCACCTCGTTTAGTAACTCTCCAGGGCTGGGTAGGGAGGAGTACAGATTACCATCTGAGGAAGAGAAGTCTGGAGGGCACCAAGAGGCCTTAACAGTAGCAAGAACAGAAGATTCTAGAGGAAAATCATCCCCAGTGGGAGAGAAAGGTGTGTTCCGCCAATCAAGCATCTATCAGATCACCCCCCTCCACCCTGCCCCCCCCCC